AGGTGAAGAGGCCAAGTCCAGCCCGGACATGGGAACAACAGTGGCCGCTGCCGTGCCGGAGCTACAAACAGGCGAGCCGACCGTGGGCCTGCTTACACATCATGTTGTATGTTGGCCGTACAAAGGAAGCTTCGACCAAGGCATGTCTAGAATGTGAGACACGCCGACCTTGCTCTGGCCATCTTATTGTCCGAACTTTGCTTGACCTTGGTTGTGTTTGGACTCCGTGTATGAGTAGCATATATTAGCTTGATTGCTCCTGTATCGTCGCTATTCCCAAACAGTGTGCTACCAGCGACGCTGTGGGGTTCATGCACTCAGAGTAAATAGAACTGATGCAGTGACTGCGCGGCGTGTCTGGAAAAGGAGCTCCCCACATCCCAGATTGTAATTTGCAGCAAATCGAGTCCCCGCGTCCTTTTATTTATACGGGGCTGCTGGCGGAGTGCGTCTCCGGCTGTGGTACGGTGCATAGTTTCGCTCGCAGACGTCCTATTATTTGCAGCGAATCCGTGCGGCCGATCTGCCTGAGGAGCCAAGGCTGCTCTCGAAAACCTTGAATCGCAGCATTACTTGGGAGAAACTATTTCGTGTTGTCCTCTGAGTCTCGCAAGCTAAGGGGGGAAGCATGAGTTGGGTGCTCCCCAAACGCGGCGTGCTCGGACATGTTTGTGAATCCCGCCAGGATGTGCGGGAAGGTTGTCGGGACGTAGTTTCCACTCGCCAGTACTTGGAGATGCGGAATCGTGGTTCGCTGGTGCTGTCCTGGAAGTCTGCTGCTGGTCTTTTACTGGTCTTTTGGGGTCTCCTGGTTGTGTCATGGTGGTGATCTTTTGGTGGTCCTTGGCGGTCTCTTGGTGGTCTCCTGGCGTCGTTCTTGTCGCAGTGCTCGGCTTGGCTTGTCTTCTGATGATCTTTTGGTGTTCTCTGCGCACATCGTGGCACAAATTCCTTTCCGCGCCCGGTCGAACCTCCTCCATTCCAATCATTTCCAATCCACACCCAGCAGCACTTCCCTGATTCCTGGCAAATGCTCTGACAGCTTGCGCACGCACACGCGCAGCCGAAGGCAGTGCAATGCGTCCAACGAGTCGGGTCACACAAGATCGAGCCAAGAAGGCTCATGCGGTATGCTGTGCGACCGCGCGACATCTCTGGCAGCTTTGATCGGCCTGCCGTTCATAAAAGTATGCAACCAACCCCAGATACAGCCCTCCATATCCCGGTTGAAACCTATCGAAACCCCTGGCATCGGCCGATACACGAAAGCATGAGAAAGATCTACAGTACAATGCTGGATATCGGATTCCGACAGTGAAAGGATGCCTTGGACGACATCTTCAAAAACTGTAACATCGCTAGCCAGAGTAGTTCAACAAAACTTCGCTCCTCCAGTGTTTTGTGTAGCCCACCGTCCCGGCTCGTACTGTACAGGCGCTGAGATACCAAAGGCCCCTTTGCCTCACACGCAAAGCTCAAGGAATGAGATCTTGGCACAATGATCGTTCAGATCAAAACGCTCAACAAATTCGAATACTTTCTCAACGAAGGCTGTCCCATACTTTGCGATTTGGCTGGAAGTGGCATGCCCCGCACAGCAGGACTGAGTACTGTCGGATGAGCACTCCACGCATCTTGAGGCCGTAAGCTGCCTTCCTGTGTTGCCTCTCGTCTGGAGGTCATTTTGCAAGATTTTGGTGATTCGACATGCGGACATGCGAGGTCATGTTGATCTACAAACCGTGTTCGAACCTTTTGCATGCCTAGCGGCGGCATCAGCCCTAGAATTGTTGATGCATGCCCACTCCTGGAAAAGTGATGTGCAATCCGATAAGTGGATGTGCGAGGGCACCTTGTGTGTATATATAGCATGATCAGGTGGAAGGTTCTTTTGAATCTCAATCCACAAACCCAAATCGCTGCAGTCGCCATCCACGAAACCTGCCACATCAAGCTGCCTGCAACCATCTACTACGTACGAGCTGTCCGACCACACATGACTCCTCCGAATTGTCGGTGCCATTTCACAATGGACAACATGGCCATAAGTTCAGCTCGGTTGATCGTTTGCATGACGCCTGGCACGAGCCCCACCGATAACACCACACCCCACACCTGTATCCGCCTCAACAGCAGCCCATCCTGCAAGTGCAAGCTCTGGGTCTGTGGGATGTAGGCAAGACCCGTCAGTGAAAACATGCAGTCCTTTCAACGGGTCCGGAGATAAAGAAATCCGCAGTCTCATCAGGTAGCTGATGCAAGGCTTCCCAATAGGGAATTGGCATGCTGTTCTCGGAAATCATGCCATGGCACTTGCTGGCAGGATGGTGAGCACTCTAGGTGTCCAACCATGCGCTGAACTTCAACCTGGGACAATGAACCAGCCGATGCTCAAGACCGTCCCCAGCTCCACAATGTTCGCAATTTCGTGCTGGTGACAGATCGAATTTGGATAACTTATCTCCTGTGTAGAATATGCCATTTCGAACGGTGCGCAGCAGGCCGCATTGCAGCCCACTCTCACTTATTCCTGGCAAATACCAGAATACCAATCCGCACCCTGTCGCGCAAGTCTGGCTCTCCCCAACTTGCGCCAGTACTTTGGGAAATCACTTTCTCACTGCGTCTCGAGCGCCAGTACTTGTGGGAAGGCAACTTTTGCAGTGTCCTGGCGATCGCCTGGCCGTGTCTCTGGTGGTCTCCTATCTGGTTTTCACCTGGTCTTCGTAGTCATCTGGTGGTCTTTCACTTTTTTTGGGATCTCGGCTGGCACAATTCTCATCGTGATGGTGACGGGTGATTGCGATGCTGCGGATTCTGCCCGGACGGAGTTGGGATTGCTCCAGCTTTGGTTTTATTGCGGAAGCCACATGGTTCGTTGATTTTTGGTGTTATCGTCGCGTCTAGCCGACCTTTTGTATGCAGCTAATACAGTAGTGCCATCCATCTCTTTACTCCTCAAGCTCTTAGTGCAAGAAACCAGTGCAACTAGTGCTGACTGTCGGTGTCGATGCTGCGGTCAACTCTTCCGCTCTTTGTTGTCGAGTTGTTGTCGTGATGGCAGTGGTTGCGATTGCTGTCGCTGCTGCTTCTGCTGTTGTTGTTGTTGTTGTTGCTGCTGCTGTTGCTGTTAATGTTGATGCTGCTCTTGTTGTGGTTGTTGGGGCAGGCTCCGCTTTACAAAGCCATCAAAGAGAAGTCCCAAGCCCCTCCTGTTCTGTATCAGTGGCCGTGTAAGAAGCGGCACATTGACCGGGCCCACCGCCAAAATGTGGCAGTGTTTCCACCAGCTTGTCGGGCAAACTGACCAAGCGGACGAGTGGGAGTGGAAGGGGCAAGTGCGGAGTGCAAGGCCTGCGGTGAACGCACACCCGGCCCAGGAAACACCTTGAAGCCAAGCAGGGCGCGACCACCAGGATTTGGAGGGAAGGGATGCACCAAACCCACGTCCTCGTTATGAAAAATCAAAGCTGGAGGTAAAGCCTCTATATTGGAAAGGGACACCCAAGGTTTGTACCCTGCATGCAAGTTCTCCAAAAGGGTCCTCCCTAAGCAACTTTCCCAAACCCCTTCGTTGAGGAACCCTTTGAGGCCCTGTTCCAGGCAGGCACTGGTTGAGGTTTTACCCTCTACGAGCCGTTCCGCTGCCCAGGTGTCGTTAATCCTCAAACACCTATGCCCGAACGCCTACCTGTGCACCGAGGTAACCCGGCGGATAGCAAGCCCTTGCGAGGCAACCCCCCACCTCGGTAAGCTGAGAGTGTGTTAACCTCGGTGTGTGAGCCTCCAGCTCAGTAGAGGTGTCAAAGCCTCTGCTGCCGACTGGTCTCCAAACTTGTTTGACAGCCCAAAAAGTCGGCCCCGTGTTCTTGTCGTTGTCGTGTTGTGGTTGTTGCTGTTGGGGCTGCTGTGGTTGTTGTGGCTGTTGTTACGCCCGCCATGCGTGGAGCCCGCTCGCACTGCGTTCAATTGCAAATTGCGCCGTTGTGGTGGTGGTGGTGGTGGTGGTGGTGGTGGTGGCGGTGGTGGTGGTGGTGGTTTGGACAATGACGATCGCCGTTGATTTTGCCCTGCTGGAGTGGCAAGCACTTTGAGTGCAAGTACATGGCACCCCGTTGAGCCGTTGTCTTTGCTGACATTGCAGGGATTGGCCTACTGGAGACCAAGCTTGTCATCGATCGTTTCGCACAGCACCGTGCAGGCCCTCACGATTTCAAGGACGGGGGTTGGGTCTTCATTCGTCGGTCAATCTTGAAGCATGCAATTGAGTGTACATGTACGGTGACGGACGGACCAGTCGATCAGTTGCGAGCTGCGGCGGATCGTTCAGGCATAGCGGCCAACCATTCCTGCCATGAGTCTATTGAACGAGCCTCGCCCGAACTGGCTGCAAGGACGTGATTCATGTGTGGCGACAGAAAGGGTCCGCAACCCGATTCCGTTTCCGTCTTTGCATCACAGTGACTGCTCTGAGCTTCCAAGCCCCTCTGATCCATCGTAGACTCGAATGCCTTGGAAGTAGTCTTTGAGTTGTTGCAGTGCGCGGCGTAGTTTACCGCATGTGGCCGATCGCTCTCGACATGTCTGAGGGCCAAGAAAGGTCGCAAGAAGAAGCTCTGGTCTCAGGTGATGTTATGCTATGCTCCAACGCAGGGGAGGCAGTAGGCTCTGTTGAGTTGACATGAGGAAGGGAGCGAAGAAAGGGAAGAAGTAGTTGACCTTCGATGGTGTACAGGACGATTTCCTGGTCTCGCGCTCGCACGCAGATGTAAGCATAGCCTGAAGAAACTCACGAAACTCCTTCGCATGATGCCTGCTAGAAACTTAATCAAGCTAATATTATAGATTACATCCCAAGCTTCGTCTTCTTCCGCAAAGCGGAAGAACTTCTCGAAGTCTTTGGACATGTTTTGGTGTTCAAAGCAACATGCATTGAATGCCAGACAGCTCGTGTGGAAACCGTGTTGCAGAGCAGGGCGGCCGCGCCATCGGTCCATCCTATGCGCTTTGATTTGTCCGTCTCTAGTCGCAGTGTGCTCTTTGCTCAAGGCTTCGGCAAACTCTATCGAGGTGGCATACACTTTCTCTTCCCAGCACGTTTATTGATGTTTATTGCATTCTGCATGTATGGCCCAGCACACTGGCGCTGGAGCAAACAAGGCTGGGAAAGAATAACCAGAGAAAGTCTCGTTACCTGTGGCCTGTGGATGCCAATGTCGCATCCGTCCCGGGACTACTACAAGGCTGCGGAAATTAACCCATCAGTTTGCGAAACCTGCCGCCCGCGGCACAAGATAGCCATTAAGGCTTGCAAAGTTTTGTTTTGAATACGACTGAATACCATATCTTTTCTTCTACTCAGGATTTTATGGTTCTGGGGTGGAGGGGTTGCAAGTTCCCACGAAGCCCGGTTGCACAGCATAATGCAGCTTTGATCACGTTCAGTCAGGCTGTCGTAAGATCTTTCGATCTTGTGTGTTGCGTGCAACGTGTAGCCGACACAACCAGGAACCCCACGGTCTTCAAGATGGCCGGCCACAGCTGTGCATAGTATTGCGCTGAAGCACTAAAGTGGCACTAAAACAAGACCGAAAGAGTACACGTTGACTCAGCTCGACAGGCTACGCAACAGCCAGGGCAAGCAACTGCCTGGTTTGTGGGAGATGTCTTCCATGTCTAGCATGAAGGTAGGACAATACCGTTAGAAGGACCGTTCCGATGGAGGCGGCCCACACAGCCTTTTCGAAAAAAGGTAAAATAAAGGCAACTCAAACATAAAGTAACATAAAGGTGAAAGAAAGCTAGAACCGGGTGAAACAAAAGGTAACGAAAAGGTTGTTTAAAAGATTGGAAAGAGGTGAAGACCAGGCACAGGCCATTTGGCTGGGATTTTCCTGCACTCCCACGCCCGCCCACCAGCCAGGGCAGGCGGGCATGTTCACACCTTGTTTTCGATTTTTGTAAAGGGAAAGGATAGGGACGCTCGCCCGCCAGCCCGCCCGCCTGCCCCAGCTGGTTGGCGGGCGTGGGAGTGCAGGAAATCCCAGTCGCGTGGCCCATGCATGCCTGTGCCTGGTCGGAAACGGTCTTTTTAAAGCGTTACCTTTGGTTTCACCTCATTCTAGCATCTTTATTGTACATTTTTTACAATTTTGGCACCTTTTCTTCACCTTAGAAGATCACCTTTTATTTGCCTTTATTTTACTTTCTATTCCCTGCGTCTCCATGGATCGGACCTTCCAATGCCGTCGCACGCTTCGTCGGTCCGATCCGTCTGCTGTTTGTGTCACTGAGTGACTTAGTGTACCTTGTCTTCATGCACACCTTTGGTTGTCCGGTGGCTCCAAGCGCAAAGACAGCAGGCCCAAGCTGGGCATTGCCACATTCACGCTCTGTTCCGGCAAAATGCTCTTTCCCTTGCCTAGCGGCCTAGCTTGACCTGCATCAATCTGCTGTTTGAAGGTGCTTGGTGTCGAGAAGACTGCTTCCGACGGGGACATCAAGAAGGCGCATAGCATGTACATGAACGAGACTCGTTTTTATGGTGCGCAGAGCTTAGGCAGCTTTAACTGAGAAATGATCGCCATGAGGCCTATCGCAAGCTGGCACTCCAATGCCATCCAGACAAGAATGCTGGCGACAAACAGGCCCTGAGCAGTGCTCAAAGTGATCAGCAGAAAGGGCTTGATGTGAGGCCGAGGAGAAGTTCAAGGAGCTGGCAGAGGCATATGCCACGCTGAGCAATGCCGAGAAGCGCCGCCGCTACGATTGCGAGGCAGAGATTCGGAGCCGGGATGACAAGACAAGCTGAATTGCACTTGCATTGGTGTTTCGGCTCACATACCAGTCTCAGGTTCAGCCGACGAGGCATTGTGGCACGAAGAGCGGCGACACTGCCTTTCAATGGCGCTCCCTGCCAATTTGCAAATTTCATGTTCTTCACAGCTCTGTGATATTGGGGTGCGAGAGGTGGGGCAAGAAACCCGGCGAGGGCCCAGGAAATCCCTTCGCCAAGCCGAGCTGGGTTGGTGCTCCTGCGGCCCAGGCGGTTGTCGATTGCTCAAAGATTGTTCGACTCCGGCTTGTTATGCGAGGAGGAGAGAGAAACGGTCCACGGCTACCACGGCTACCGTCATGGCCCAGGTTGCATCTTCCGGAGGGGGCGGCATTCACGCCCTGTTGCTGCTTTGCCAGATACCGGCGCATTCATTCGGAGGGGCTTCACGTTGCAAGAGGCACTGCCTTCACGTTGATTGCTTGAGTGGCTTCAGCCTCACAACCCCACCAAGCCAGGCTACAGGTCTTTTTCAGAGCCTCTTTGGTGGCGACCCCTTTGATGACTTCATTGATGCGAAAGCTCGAGAGCCATTCGGATGGAGAGGCAAAGCTCGCTAGATGATGTAGCCCAGTTAGCCAAGGGGCTTACAGTGTTACAGTTGTCCCGAATAGCAGGAGGACAGCGTGCGTCCATATCCAGCGACAAGAAGTGCGCCGTGCTCTCGAGCTGATGAAAGGCTCTTGCTTAGCAGAGCTTCACAGGTCATGGGATGTCAAGATCACACGTATCAAGCGACCAGATGGCACAGCGGCTGGCCGATGAAACAGGAGATGCGATGGAGCTGGGTGTGTTCTCCTGATGGCCGTCAGACATTCGTCAGACATTCAGGTCCTCATTGAGCGCACAGACTCTTCGGGCACTACCCAGACGGTAGAAGAAGGACTAGGATGCAGTAGGCAGTAGGATACAGACACCGATCTGCTGGTGCCGTCTGGTGCTCGATCGCCTTGAGGACGCAACGGTCCACACGGTGCAAGTGGAGCCGCTGCAACGCCTCCTCGTGATTCAGCGCCCTGTTTCAGGTGCGCATGCGTGGGCGGTATGGTGTGCAAAGCAGAACACAGCCAGGAGATCCGGCTCTGGTCGTGCCTGGGGCCAGGCCCAGTCCGTGAGAGCTGTGCACTTCGGTTTTCAGCCTGCGGCGAAGGAGAAGGAGATGCTGGGACTCTCGCCCGCCGGTTCGGCGAGCCACGGGGTTTCAGTATGGCAGGGGATGGGCTGATTGGAAACCTCGAGCTTCATGGCTTGTTGCTTTATCGTCGCCTGGCCAAGGCATCGGGGGAAACGTGCAAAGAGGCGACCGGCTACCAACACCAAGTGAAATTATGGCACGAATCGCGAAGTGCTGCGTAGCCGGTGCAGCGACGGAAGGAAGCTGGGCTGGAGCTGGAGTTAGCAAGGCCGGGGGCCGCCCGGGCCTGAGACTGCCAAACACGCGCCTTTAATTGTGGAGCGTGAAACGAGCAGGCGGTGCTTTCGTGAACTGGAGCTCGAACTGAAACGTCCCAGCCGCCCCGCCGCCTGATATGTACAGAGCCTCGTCAGCTGATTTTGTTTCATTTGCGCTGTACAGACTCCAAACAGAAGCCCCCCTTGAGCTTGCTGCATAAACCAGTATGTGGAAGTGCCGATCATGAAAACAGAGAAGAGTGTATCTGATCGATGCGCTCCCCGAAGAACGTGCCAGGTGGCCCGGGCTACATGCCTCCTACATGTGTGAACGGTGCAAAATGGCACAGAGCGGCAGATATCCAAACATGGCATTTCTAAGACAACAGAGTAATTGGACCGATCAGGTAAACAACTTCAACCATCCCCAGTGGGGCACTGAAGAAGATACTAAAAAGCATTTGGCAGCAAAACGCGATCCAGAGTTAAGCGTGAACCAAACATCCAAGCATCGTGCTGCACAAGAACTCGGCCAAGCGGTTGAAGCCAACTGCCCAAGTTCTAACAATGGATCTGTTTCTGGTCTTGGCTATTGAGGTCGTAGTCAACCTCGCGCTCTATGTGTGTTGGGTTGTAATCCTTCTATCTGACTCGGTGCTCCTGGCTGACCGTAGCCTTTTGCTGTGAGACGGGGCGGTGAGCCCCTAGTAGAAGAGATGTTCTGGCGAAGTCCCCAAGGCCCGGGGCATCACTGTGCCTCGACTCTGCACACTCCTCAAGCGCCAGTACGGGGCTTCTTTGACAACCAGTTCTCCCGGCCTGGACCTTTGCGAACACTGCGGAAGCAGCAAGGACACGGAATTGAGTGGCACCGTCAGACTTTAGCTCATTGCTTCGCGCAGGAATTGCATGGGTTTGTGCTGTCTTCTCGCTGCCGACCTTCCTGGTCTTGGTCGGGAACCATCCAGATGTTCAGGAGACACTCTGGTCAGCGTGTGCTGGGTACGGCTGTTACGGATGTCACCGCAGACCTAGTGCAGGAGTGGTTCATTCGGTCGCATCCCCTTGCGTGCTGGTGCCGTCCTTCTGTTCTGCACTCTGAGTTACCAAGGCACTACAGGCCGATAGAGTATCCTCCGCAGCCGAAGACTCAGTGGTCCACCGTGGGCGAAGAGCCGGAAAGAGCTTTGCAAACTGGGCTGTCGTACCGACGAGCCGACGAGGTCAGATCCGTCCATCATCTACGACATCTATCACGGAAGGTGCCAGTGCCCACCATTGCCCAAGTGAGTGTTGCACAGCAGAGGTCAATGCAACTATCGCGAGCGCATGTGGCCTTCCTGTTTCCGTCTGTTGCCTCGCACCCGTCTCGAGGACACCTCGGAAATCTGCATGATTGCAGTGCCGGAGCCAGCATCGAAACTTGTACATACAGTCAACCGACTTAGCGCTTTGCGGATTAAGTGGTATTGGACTTGAGGCCACTGTTCGCGTTCGCAGCTTGTGAGCATTTGCGAGCACAGCCGCGGTTGCCCTGTCGAGCAGCTGCAGCTGCCGTGACCGTTTGATACTGCAGATGTTGGCTCCAGTAAAGCAGCGATTCAGCACTGTTGCTTCAGGGATTGGGACAGCTAGCGCCAGACATCTGCCCGTGGCACGAAGCTGGGCACTCGACCGGTGGCTGTACCTGTTCTATTCTAATGTTCCCGGGTGCGGTCAGAACCGAGGTTGCTTGCATGTCGGCTTGGGGACAACTACTGCAAGCAACAGCACCTTAACGGCAGAAGTTGCTCAATTTCCTGTGTTGCCAATTGTTGCTATGTATCTGCAAAGATCGGAGGTCATACGTTGAGCACGGGATGGCGTCAAGTGTCAAGACTTCTGCGCCTTGCAGCAATTTCTGTGCATGTTCCGCTCACATTGCAGCATCGCTTCACGTAGCAGCCGTATCATCTTGCGAACCGTTCCTTGCCGACTGCCATGCGTGTAGAACAAGCAATATGACCGTTGAAGCTTCCAAACCTTATGATGCATCGAACTCCCAGGTGTGTTTTCGTTGCTTGTGACGGGCTGAGCTTGCAATGCTCGTCGCGAAAGCCCCCCGCCCTTCACAAACGAGACAATGTCTGCAGCCGGACGCCTTGGCGTCAAGGTGCGACGCCCGGGACACCGGAGGTGACGAAAAATTGAAAAGCTGAGCCCAAGCGATGCCAACCTAATGCGCAGAGGGAGGTGCAGGCATGTTGGTCACCAAAGATAGGCCATGATAGGAGCAATCAGTCCAGGTGCTACAGATCTTCCAAAACAGTCTCACAACCCAGCAGGCAATGTTTGGAAGCGCCCGCATTGAACGGGCATGTGCGGCCTCCAAACATTGGTCACTCTTGTCATGTAGTCGCCAGCACCTGGGGCCACACCCACACCCGAGAGAGAAGGACGACTGAGTGCCGCCTCCACGAGTCGAGAGCATGTTTCCACGAGTTCCTCCCAGGTGCTCGGGCCAAACAGATTCCGAAACAGACAGGCGCCTTCACATGACACGCCAGCAGACACCGCATGCAGTCAACAGGCGCCGTCTGGCGATGTGTGCGACTCTCAGAGCCTCTGAGAACTTTCGGCGCCTGCGGCATCTGCGGCATCTGCGGCCCTGTGGTCTGCAGGACTACGGCAAATTCAAGGAGGTGCGAGGGAACGCCGAGCACAGGTTCTCGTGAAGCCCTCAGGTCAGGCTTGTAGGCGCCGCACAACGGCTTTTCGATGTTACGCCTGCTACCGTCGCTGCAATACTGCCTTCATGATGCCGAGGCGATTGCAGCGCAGCTCCTCTCAAGAAAGCCAAGGCGCAGCAACAGCGCCGCAAATCTTGCACGTGACGATGTGCATCGCACGCAATCATCTCTTGGTGAATGAGAGGGTTGCCACATTGCATTCGAAGGTCAGGACATCACGGTGCCGTCATTTACATGCACTTTTCGCCAAACCGTGTCCGGCCACAGTGTTTCTGCAGCTTCCAGAGAGGGCGCGAAGACGAGGCTCTGTTGTGGCTTGCAGTCCAGCAGCAAACCCAGGGGCAAGCAATGCAAGAAGAGCCCCGGATGGTAGGTCCACATGGGCGGCGGAGATAAGTCAGGGGCAGCTCATGAGATGAAGGAGAAGCTTCGGGCTCCAACCGCGAGCAGGGACTATCCAAGCAGCTCCAAGCACTCTGTTGAAGCGCTGGAGTGGTCTTAATTACCCGGACACACAATGACACACACACTACCAATCAAATCCAGCTACTCCAGCTGCGCATTCCACGAACATTCCGAGGTCCTTCTATTTCTGTGTTCATTGCTGGTTGGTGTAGCGGCAGATGCAGGAAGAGTTTGCTTATGTTTGTTGGGCTTCCGCAATCGCTGGCCAGACAGCTGCGGACTCTGTTTTGGCAGGGGCATCTGAGGCCAGGACGTAATTCAAGACTGGCTGTGGCATCGGTTCTGCCATTATACCTGTGGGGAGGAAGCAGCACTCCGACGAAACTGCCTGGTCGATTGGATGGAGATGTCAGTGCCCGGCAGATCGAGATGACTCACAGTCCTCAGACCGGTTGCATGCATTGGGGTTGGAAAACTGGCAGCGTGATGCAGGTACACGTCGCACCTGGTCAGCGGCAATCGCGCCAAAGAGCAGTTCCACAGGGCTTGCAGGAGCAGTACACCTCCATCGTAATCGTCCGAGATCGTCTGCATGATTTTTGACGTTGAGAAAGCGAGAACTGAGTCAAGAGCTGTTGTTCCAAGCAGCCCAGCCAAGGTGAGGCACTACTTGACTGACGTGGCTCTTAAGCAAGGCAGGCATTTCCACAAGCTCAACCTAGGACAAGGAGTTCCAAGCCCGCCATTTCAGCAGGCACGAAGAACCGAAGCCACTTTCAGGCATCAGCTCACTGGTCTTCGGTAGACTTGGCTGTGCCTTGCTTGTATCAGGAAGCTGGCCCAGGTAGTGATGAGCTCGGGGCTAAGCGCTTAGAGGCGATGCTTCAGTCTGGAGCCTCGGGTTCGAAGTCTTTTAGCAGGGCTCTTGAGATGCCCTGTGTCTAGGTGTATTTGCTTGTGTGTGTGCTCGTGCGCAAGCGCAAGAGACGTCGTGACCAGTTTGTGGGCTCGGTTGTCGAAACCTGCCGTGCTCCCACTTGTGGCAGGAAATATCAGGGAATCCTATCATCTACCGCGGACTGCGGACGCCATCTGCAAACACACAAATCCATCACAATGCCCACAACATCCCGCAAACATTCAAGGCATTTCTGCGATGCTTTAGGGATGTCATGTCAATGCCCTCTGCCCTGCCACCCTTCATCGCAACGACTGCTGAGATAAAACTGTTTCATTATGTGTGTCCAGTATGTCCAGGTGTAAAGCCATCTGCGGCCAAGCTAACCTGATTATCAGACATTTCCTGGGGAGCAGCTAGAAGCGATCGGATTCCCACCAATTGGGCTGTTGGGCTGATTTGGCCAGCCGGGAAAGGAATGCCCAACTTTAGCTCCCACGTAGTGCCGTATCTTGGTGTTTGCGGGCGCGGAGCAAAACTGCAAAGCCGGATGCGGTTCCGGAATGGTTGAGTTGGCTCCGAAAGTCGACTAGCGTCTAGAGTACTTAGTTTGACAACGAAATGGTTTCGGATCATCATGCACACGCTGTGGCCGTAAGAAATTAACGACTTTTCCGATCCGAAGGCCATAGAGAAATCCACATTCCGTCCCACCATGTTTGATGCCGGATCAGGCGGAAGAACTGCGAGTCGTTAGAGAAAACATTGTCCACACTTGTGAGGAGAGGGTCGGAAAAGCGGCCGGCAACTTCGGAAATAGTCAGAAAACACCGTAGAGCCACGATCTGGTTTAGCGATTGGTGTTTCCCAGCCATCTCCTCTTAGGGTTTGCTAGCCAATGTCATCCTCTTTAAGGTGTGGTAATTGCCAGTTTGCCAACCGCGACGTGCCTTTGGGGTTTGGGGGTTGTCAGCCAACATACATACATGCATACATACATATATATATATATATATATATATAGGGACGTGTTGTGTTTGTCATGTAACCCGGTAGCTATTCCAGTCAGTTTCCATACTAACGGTGTGGGGATCCCGCTCTTGTTGGTTTGAGTACCGCCGAGCCTGCTTCGGAAGGCCCCTTCTCACTGTGCCTTTGAAGGGGCCGGAGCCCCGCCTCTCGCCTGTAACTAGCTTCCGAAGGGAAGGGTGCCTTGAGCCATACAGAACGTCGGCAAGAACGTGACACTACTCCTTTGTAAGGGGGGCGCTGACCGCAAGACCTTCGTCTCCCACCATGTGACGGGGGAGCTAACAGACCAGCCAGGCGCTTGCCTTACAGGCCACACCGTTCCTCTCCTACCCGACGGCTGGGCGGGGGAAAAATCCTACTTAAAGGTCGTGATATTGGCACGGGCGCGAACCTCGTGATCTACGCCTCCTTCGATGACGAGCTCCTCAAAAATCCCATAGAGGGGCAAGGCAGGGGCAGACGCGGAAACGAGGCCGAGACATTCCCGACGACCAAGCCGGCCAAGGTCAACACCACGTGGGAGGACCAGCGAGGGGAGTGCGTGCAAAAAGGTTTTGGAGGGGACCGTGAAGTGTGAGCGCTGTGTTCTTGGGTTTACCTCACCTCTGCTCGTTGTTGTGTTTACAAGGAACACCTCACATCCCCAAATTTCGAATCCTCACGCCGGGGGGATTGTGCCTGCACACTGTGCCATAACCTCCCTTTGGGGGAAATGCCTCATTGCAAATGCCGTCACAACCTGACGAGTTTCTTTCCATTTGCCGGCAATTCTTTGTCACTCCTTCGCTAAACGAGGATGTCTGATCCGCCTACCTCATTCTTAATTCTTTGCCTCGCTCCCCTTTTGAGCTCATAAGCAAGGAGGATCATTGAACCGGCATCTTTTTTTTGTTTCAGCAGCATTGAACAGCTGCATGGGGGATGCTCCACCCAAAGCCCATTCCCTCACAAGCAAGCCCCACAACGAGGTACTTAGGCTTGAAGGCATGGTAGACACAGGATCCCGGGGATGAGGCCGGGACGCGGGGGTTTGGGGTAAACGGTGGGGGCTTGCTACACGAAAACGAGGGGCATACTGGGTGTACTGTGCCGTAGTCAGGAAAAACCCCAAAGCCGGCCACACTCACTAGCACAGGGGGTGAGCTGGGCGGGCCGAAGGCTTGAGGGTCGCTGGACGACCCCTACGCCCTGCAGAAAGAAAGAAAGAGAGTGACGACAAGGGGAGCCCGAGGAGGACACCCCACTCTCAAAAAAGCCAGAAGCCAAGCCTCAGCACTACTGCGTAACCAGACGGAGGAAACCATGGCTGCGGTGGCTCAAGTGACAGCAAAGGGGAACGAAGGCGACGACGTGGACCGCGACCGCAGGGCCCAAGGGGAGCCCAGAGCAGTGGGGGAAGCAGCCACAGAGAGAGCAGCTAGGGCAGCGGAGCACATCGAGACAGCCATGGCGCTTGCTCCTAGCATCGAGCTCCATGGAGTCGAAGCCCCCCTCCGTCGCCGAACGCTTTCCAGATTGCCGCACTGGTGGTGGGTATCCTGGATGAGAGAGGTGACCCGCCAACACAATGGGAGCTCGCTGAGATCCTAGAGCTCACTCAAAGTGGGCAAGGCCTCGTAGCAACTGGCAGACGACCCACGATGCCACGGATGCAGCGGAGATCAGCGGAGGAGGCAGAAGCATGCCTTCATATGCTCATCTCCGCTTACCCGCTATGGCAGAAAGAACTGGGGAGACTCAGAAATCTCCTGGAGGCGGCGGCAGAAGGCGTGCCAGCCTTGGTGGGGATATACCCACATCGCGGGGAGCGAGAAACCATGAACGCACACCCGGCAGATGTGATAGCTCTGGATGCGGGGGCACAAGAAGCCGCACACCGACCACCAAGAGCAGAACCGAATGCAGCTCACGTCTTCAAGGCCAAACGCCGCCGACGAGACCTACTACTTTTCCTGGTGGGGGGCGTACTTCATGAAGCAGTCCGTGCCCTGCAAGAGCTGGAAACATGGGCACAAGCATACTGAGGGGAAGCGGCGGCCAGTACCTCGAGACCTTCTACCACCGCTGTTAGGGGGTCCTGTCCTGACCCAACGCCTAGGAGCCCCACTGAACCGCGACGCTGATTCACCAACCCCAGCTCACTGGACCACGATGACTATGGGTGCTGATTGGCTTTTTCGTGGTTGCTTTCCTGTGTAGGCGGGATTCGTGCTTGTAGTTTACAGTGCAGTGAGCTGGGGGTCCTAGTAGGTGTAAGAAGAGGCTGAGGAGGCATGGCCAGAACATTTACTCAGGAAAGGTTGCCATTACACCTGTGCGTCCCCTCGCCGCCTGCCTCCCTCAAAGTCTTCTGTAGTCCAGGCTTGGGGCCCAAAACAAGCAGTAACTGCAGCTAGTCGTGTGTAAGCTAAGTCTGCTCGAATGAGGCCCAAGAGGAACCAGCAGTCTCACGGCACTGGGGGGATGACGGCACGAAACCGTGGGGTTGTGGTCACGTTGTGTAGTTACGAGGGGCGATTAGCCCGTTCCTGTCAGGCCATCATCGCCCCCTTTTTTGCAGCAGTGCAACGGAGCCCGCAAGCACTGGAGGGGGAGAGCCAGCCTACGTTAGATGTTTCGCTGTTGTTTTGTTGTCCTGAAAACTCCGCCTCCGCTGCTCCACTGCATCTGGGAATCCCGAAACCTTCTACCGAGTTGGAACAACGGGTTGCCACAGGGGCGCGGGGACGTGTTTAGTGTTCGGGGGGGTCACCAGCTCGGGAAAACAGGGCATACCTGGTTATACAGTGCCATAGTCTGGAATACCTACCAAGTCATGCAGGGAGATGCAAGCGACCCCGACATCGACGAGGCGACTGGGAGGCCAACACCGGGCACGATCAAGGAGGACCCCAGCACGAACCCGAACCTGTCCGACTACGAGCGCCACTATCTCTTCGACGCGACGGAAGCTGAGCCAGGTGTCGCCGACGAGAAGCTACATGAAGCCAATGATGTCGTATCAACTGTCCATGCAGCGACCCCCATGAAGCGCATTATCAAAGATTACCTTATCTTGAAAGTCGAGGCCTTGCCAGGAAGTGCGTCTTCTTCTTCGAAGGGTAAACGAACAAAGATGGTCAATTTCATGGATGCACTGGATCACACGGACGTCAGGCTCTTCCAACAGATTGATGCCACATGCTTTGCGAAGTTGCTGGTGGGTTGGACGTCCATGCGCGTCTGTATGCAAGAGGAGGGAGGCAACCATGTGTTTGGAACGTGGGCTGATTGGACATGCGCTTTGATCTCCTGCATATGCAGGAGAAATGGGACGGTAAGGCTTTCACCTCGGAGTGTGAGTACATGGTAGCTCACAAGGCCAGCGGCGCCGGTGTCATTATAGTGTGAGCTCGACAGCGTTGACCTTGAAGGAGACTGCAAATGTATGGGCTCTGAAGCAGTACATGAATCTCAACGTGGACAGAAGGCCAGATATGCTGGTGCAGTACATTGCTCGTCATGAGACCCACGGCATGCAAAATGATGCCAAATCGGCCATCTTCGTGGAGTACTACCAGCAGAAGCACTATGGCCGCTACATGGCGAGAGGCCCAGCAGGTCAGAAACTGACCAAGGAGGCTCGACGTGTCGCCTTTGGCCATATATGCTGCGAGATTGATGCCGCCGGCTGTCACCAACGTCTGTTGCTGCAGCGCTTGAAGAAGCTTGAGTTGTGGGACCCTATCAAGTATGTCATGCTTGAGCGCTTCACAGAGAACTTCACGGCGTGGCGTCGCTGTCTCTCCAGGTACATGGACAAGCCCTTGAGTGACGCGAAAAAAGCTCATCCGCATCGTCTACGGAGGACAGCCGAGCATACAGGCGCCCTTCCTCCTGAAGCTCTGTGATGAAGTTCAGAAAGCAGCGCAAGCTCTTCTGCAACATCCGTCCGCAGCGTCGTGGGCAAAGCTATACTCGGACCGCCGCATCCCAGAGTTTTCAAGTTTTCCAGACTCTCGGCTCTGTTGTCATTCGACGAAGCTGAGCTACTGACAACGTTCCTGAATAGATGTGCTGCTCCCGCTAACGTTCTCATCTTTGATGGTGTCTACGTGACAACTGCATCGTTTACTGCTGAGGTCGACATGATCATCGCCCGTGATAGTGTGTCGGATGAGATCATCCCCTTGGAAATGAAATCATGGGCCGACGCAGTACAGCCGGCAGTCCTTCCACGTGCAGCCATACGTCGAGGTGCGATTGTGGATTCCTCTGATGCGGTGCCGATCACACAGAGTTGCTTGCTTTATGCCTTCTCCTGCGTGATGCCTGAGATGAACATGGAGGTGCTTACAGCCTGTATCCCTTCGCCCGACTCACCTTGCGCTCTGGATTTGAATCGAGCGCTTGTAGAAGTAGTCGATGTAAATGCGGTCACATGCTCGCGATTGATGCACATGGCAGAGATAATGTCTCGGAGAAGTCCAATGCCATTTGGTTCTGTCACCAATCAATTCGTGAAGGACACGGCCACTGGTGGGCGGCGGTCTTCCCGCCGACCGGCGGCATCGTTCTTATTGACGCGTGGACTCAGGGAGGATACATTTGGTTGCCCTTCACTGATTTTGAGGCACTCATGGGGGACACGGACAACGTCAATGTTTCGAGCTTCTCGAATACGATATCCTTGAGGCCATCCCGGCCGCCTCCGAGTACAAGCTTTCAGGAAATAGGCCTCGTCCAGCTCGCACGCCAAATTTCATCAAGCCGGAGAAGAAGTTGACTACTTGCCGGAGTCTTGCGTCGAATGTGGAGGTTCCCTGGCCCCCGTTGACCAACCCATTGAGGCTCGATTGTATAAAGTGGCGGGAGTGGAAGCTGTGGAGCATGTGCCTATGCGCTGTTCGCACATACCATCACTACAACTACCGCTGGGTTGACGGGCGCAAGACCAACGCGTGTCAAGGTTCTGAGCTCGATTACATCTTTCTGAACAGTAAGACGGGCTTCAGTAGAGCTTTTCTGGATTATCACATCGCTCTCCAATTCAGAGGTGGCCTCAGCAACAATGCCATTGCTTGGGCGCAAGAGGACGTGTGATCTGGAAGGACAACAACGAACACTTTCGTTGGCCCCGTGAGTATGCAGCGGCTTCCCTCTACTACAATGTCATTCTTGCGGCTGAACGGATGTGGTCGGAGAAGACAATGAAAGTGCTGCTTGATACGCTCCACAGCATCAATGTTGAGGATCCTCTGGACAACGACTTCACGCAGCAGTACTCGACCTGCTGGCATTCGCATCATCTTTTTACCAATGAGCGGCGTTGCATCAAGGAAATCGTGATGGACGGCCACGAGAAAGTTTCCACCGAATTTTCTACCACGCCCCCGGCCCATGCAGGACGACCCCGCAGGGACAATCGCCAGAAGCAGCGCCACAACGGCTGGTTCATGAGTATGGATCCGGCCAGTGGCCTTATTGTCGCGGTGCAAGAGATGCTTGACCCAGAGGACAATAAGGTTATGATCAACGTGCTCCAGACGATTTATGATCGCATCTGCCGGTGTATGACCACAATCAAGAAGCACAAGGAGTTCAAGCAATTCACTTCTTGGCGCGTGGAACGCTTCCATGCCCGAGTGCACTCGGATTCATGCGAACGCTCTCCATTGAACGTCAAGCGATTGGACAAGCGACTGAAGGGCGTGAAAGCGTCGATCGCCGAACAGACGTTTGCTTGGTTCCGAGGTTACGCGGCGATCCTCAACACAAAGGCCACAAAGGCTCGTGATGCACACATCTTTACAGTGCTTCTATACGTGGAGCCGTGGAGCGCCACAACAATCTGATCCGAGACAAGTACTTGCTGCTCCTGAACAAGTTCAGCGCACACCGTCGTGAAGCTAGGTCTGTTGGAGCATGGAAGAAGCCAGCGGCTGACAAGTACGTTTGTCGTCGACCGGCGACGGCATCCTCATCAGTTCTACGCAAACCGGCATCTTCCTCCTCGTCATCCCCTGTCTACCGCAAGCCTGCCGCTCCCACATCCAAGGTCATCAAGAAGTACCTGAAGAAGTCGAAGTGAATATCATCCGGATGTATGACTGTGCATATCGTACTTCCCTGTCAACACGCGCCAGGAGGTAATGTGCAGTGATTCAACTCTTGTCGTGTCACATGTTCGTCGCCTGGTCTGCGTAGCTTCAGCGAGACTCGTAACGATTATTATTTGATTATAAGTCGACTCAAAACTGACAGTCGTACAACTAACTCAGCTAGATGTAAAATGTATTAGTTTATCTGCAGACTTATGTATGTAGCATGGAAAGATGTAAAGACCATAAACTGATTGGGGTATGCGATCACTGTTGCGGGAGACAGGCTAATGTGTCCGACTTTGTGAGCTCGACTTGGAGACGTAGTTCACTATCAACTTTCAGCGAATGGAAAGAAATCGCAGCGTGACAGATGTTTCAGTTCTTGCTGCGGGTGGCCGCCCTGTTCAAGACAACGCACTGAATGTACTGGTATGTTGCACTCGAGAATAGAGAAAACAGTACGAGCCTCAGCGTCCAGATGCGGAGCAGTCAGCTTTTGGTCGCATGCATCTGCTGCCTATATGATATAGATATGTATATATATATGTACACTAAACAGCATAATTGCAAATTGACAACATGCAAGAAGAGCAAGCTGTAGCTAGTAAAATCCTTAAAAGTCACCGCAAAAACGCTCGTTTATTCGACGCCCTCACGCCGACGCACACTCCAGAAATATATATATATATATATATATATATATATTTAAAATACATATGTATATATATATGTATATATATATACACATATATATATATATGTGTAGATCTCTCTCTTTGTCTCTCTCTGGGGTCGGTCGTTGCCGCCCACGATCTTGTTTTCAGGTTTGGGGTTTGCTAACCAATTTTATCCCTTCTCACGGGTTTTTGTGTTTGGAGTCTGCACCCGAGTTTGTGACCCACGAGCTTCTTTCAGGTTGGGTTTGGCATGTTTTTTCATGTTTGCCAACTGTTCGGGTTTGGAGTTTGCCATTCATGATCTTCTCTAAGGGTTTGCGTTTGCCGCCAATTACCTTTGGGGTGGGGTATGCATCCGGCTTGCCACTTGTGGTCGTCTTGAAGGGTTTGGGGCTTGCCAGCAATATCAGAGCAATGTCTTTTTTGTTCTAGGGTTTGTGGATTTTAAATATGTTTGTCCGGAATCACACCCGATGTTTTGTTGAGAATGCGCCCAAGTTTTCCGGTGTTTCGTGCCTTCCGAATTTCTGTTCCTGCAGCACGGTCGTCTTCCGAAACGGCCCTGCGCAATGCGAAATCTCCGACTTCCACCGGATGAACTTGTCTACGCCGTCGCCAAAGAAGAAGCCTTCTTCGTGAAGGAGGGCAACTACAACATGCTTGAGCATTGCTCTGTGAGTTCGGGCGCGAATGCTTTCCTGCTCATGACCTCCGCCAGACGAAATCAGTGTCTGCATGTTGTTGCTAAGCCAAGACCAAGACGAAGAATGATTCGTGCTGCTGTTTTACAGACCGTGCACGTGCTGCCAACTGGGTTTTTTTCCACGTGTTCACTGCGGGCTTGGGCACTTATCCAGAATTTTGCTCAACAAGAACTAGCAAAGTCTGACGCTTCGTTCCCTCACACCGTGATACCCACATGAAAAGAATGTTAAACATCTCACGTGAACATCTCACATGCTTCGGCCACTTCTGCTGCTACGATGCTTGCTCAATGTGCAAGTGTGCAAGTCGCGACTTTTGTAGGTGCGTTTCAAGAGGAGATGCAAGGGTAGGTTCACAGCACAGCCATGGTTGGATCACACAGCAGATCTTGCAGGTTCTTGCGGCCATGGTCGTGGCGTGTAAGACTGGACTTGCTTCCCACGGCCGTTGATAACAACAGTGTCACGCGATGAACCTTATTGCCGGTCCTTCCACGTTTGTCGTTCTTGTCCGTATTCGATGTTCAGCGGGCCGTCAAACCTGCTCAGCTATTCTGATGTTTTCTGATGCGGCATACGGATGGTGATCTCTTGGTCCCAGTCCTTGTTTGTTCAACTCAGGATATCGAGACTGGTCCAGTAACGCCAGCTGTCTCGAAGTTTGATTGGAAGATTGCTAAATTGCTACCTCGCAAGTTTTATTTCGCCAGCTCGGCGTGCGTGCCTCGGAGTTCTGTTGGCAGCCCCATTGCAAGCCGTTCGAGTGGACTCGATCGTCCGGCTCCTTTTGTCTTCGGTTGGAGCACGGTCTACGGTTTAGAAATTTCTGTCACGTTCATACGCAGCTCGGCGCATTGGAACCTTTTGGATTCTGAGGCATCCACTGGTCGTTCAGGTGAAGCAGGCCCATAGCAGTCACTCCTAGTGACATTCATTGTATCAGCAAGCGACATCAACATATTGTACTGTCAGGTTTTCTCAAGCACCGAGGGCGTTTTGCTGCTCGTGCATGTTGTGAAGGCCGAGCTCCGTCTGCACACACACTCTCTCTCTCTGTCTCTCTGTATGAGAATGGCGTTTAGGCAGCTCACCCTGCATTGTGGCAACAGGGATGTTCTCGTCGAGGCATTGCTGAAGGTTCACTGATGAGGCACGTTCAGAGCTTGACACCGCACTGGCCATCGTCAGTATGTGAAGGATGCTGCTGCATCAGCGGCATTCAGGGCTGCAGGTGCTGCGAGTGTTCTGCTTGTCCTCCTGTGCCTGAGCCTGCTTCAGTTTTTGCTCACCGCAGCTTCCAGGCTTGTCTACCACAAATTGGTAGCTGGATGCAGGCGCGGGAAAATGGGGGAAATGACAGCCTTTGACTGCCTTGGGCAATGAACTTGAGAGGTTGTCAAGTTCAACGTGCTGCAGGTGACGGATGGTAAATCAGTCAGCAACGCGTTAAGGCTTTACATGCTTGCCTTGCGATTCCGTGAAGGTAGGAACTTCTCGCGGGGCTTTCTTGTGCAAGGCTTAGAAGTCCAACTTCTAGCCAGGCATACATGCAGAAGATTGCAGAAGCTGGATGCATGCAGTCACTTTTACCGTGCATGTAGCCGAAGTTTGAGGCTGCCGGTAGAGCTTGCGTCGGCGCCAGAGATTCCGGCGGGAAAAGAAGTCGATCAGACGAGCGCATACTGAGGGCAATGCGACGATGGGGTTGCGGTAGCCATGTTTGACGCGACCACACACGTTTGTGCAAGCGCGCACTTGATGCCGCAAACAGGCTCACCATGCGCCTGCAGAACGCTTGCAAATGCCGGTGTTCCGTTTGCCGCATGCATAGTCTGGCTCTGTACCGTCGCTCAAGTGCTTCTTAGATTGGATTTCAGTGGCTAAGCAACGCGTGGTCGAGCAAGACTGGAACTTGTGGTGGATGCACCTACTGCAAACCCAACGACTGAACAAGAGAGCGCCCAATTGCTGTTGCACCTTCTGGACTTTGCTGAGAAGCAGCTGGCTCATACGGTTCCCCGGTGGCACATTTTTTCTGCAGTGTTTTATTTGTGTTGTGTTTTTGTGCGTCCGGCTTGCTAACGGTCACTGCAGGTAAGATGCGAGTAAAAGTGGTTGATGGTTGATGATGGGGGGAGTTGAGATGCTGGTGTTGGTATTTTGCCCTTGAGTTGAAAGGTGTGGAGGGGACTTGGTGAGAGTCAGCTTGCCAAGGTTCCATGGCACAGGTGGCGGAAGTTTTCTCAGAGGCAGAGTTGCAGGCACGCTTTTTCTGTTGCCGAGGCCTCCATGGGACACAAGAGTCCGGTCCCAGCCAATGCGGACATTGATCAATACCCCGAAATCTTGCCTTGACGGGCAGCTGTAATACTCAAGCACCGGGTTCTAGAGCTCTATAACCAGGTCAGGTCGTCCATCGGACACGTTCACCCTGCACATATCTGCACATGAAATCCCCAGTCTGCGGCCTGCCCCCCTTTCACTAAATCTGAAACCTCTCGTCACGTGCACAGACTCTTGGCAAGGCGCTGTGCGGCAGCCATAAAGGGCTCACCACGCTCTTGCTGTGGGCGCCTTGGCACGCGCCCAGCGTGCACCTGACCAAGGCGATTGCACCTTGCTGTCCTGTGGCGGATGTCCATGTCCGATACTTCGCACTCCAGGTGTTGGAAGCTATTGCGGCTGAGCAGAAGACTGCGTCCTTTGCCAAGGTCGCAACCGCGAATCGGTCATGTACGAGTTAATTTGAGGCAGACCTTGCATATCCTTGCATGCATGTGCCATTTCCTGCTTGGCTCAGCATACGGCTTGAGTATGGCGTAAGCATCTAGTAGTCAAGATACTAATTAACAAAAATCAGCCACTTGAAAGCGCAGGCACTGCATCTTTCTGAGCAGCGCCTTTGATAATCCTTCCGGTGTGACCTTTGTCGTGCGGCGCAGAAGTGGCGACCATGGGGGCAGCCTGAAGCCTAACACCAATGCTGTGCCAGCAGAACTTCTCGATGGGTTTTTGAGGTAGGGGTAGCGTGGTCAAGATGATATTTGCCAAAGCGCAGCGCGCGCACTTCTCTGGAACTGCGACGTCGGGTGCATTCGGGCATGCTAGTAGCACCTGCATCTTTTTGAACCGAACGCTGACAGAATTCCCGTGTGGAAGAAGAAGCGTCGAACATCCTCCAGCCTTGTCTTGTCAAGCTCGCTCTTTCCACATGTTGTGGTTTCACATGCTGTCGAGCTTGCCGGGACTTGCTGTAAGAAAACATCGGCTTTCGTACGGTTCCAACAAAATCGAGAAGTACTCGTCATCCCGGAACCAAGTTGACACGCGACAGAAGTTGAATGTTTGTGCCGGTTTATGTCTCTCGTCTGTCTGGAAGAGCTCCTGGTGTTTGGTGCCAGACCCGTCGAAGACCATCTTGACGCAGACCGCTCGGGAGGAACCGTCTAATGGCTTCCGCTTGGAATCGAGACATCCCAGAGCTTTTAAGCATCGGGGTTTTCTGCTGAGGACATCTCTGACCTGATGACTTGCATGCGAAACTTCAAAGTGTCGACGAAGCGCCTGCAGCAAGCGGCACCACGAGCTTAAATGCGTCGTCATCTGGTGTAGCCTGTGGGCATAGACAACATGAAACCTTTAATTTTAACGCTACGCCGCCCGCCTCGGCTCTTTAGCGGCAGGGCGAGGGCAGTCGATGTTGTATACATGCTAGAGGGGGCCTCTCAACCCAACCTTTACACCAAGTGGGGGCGCCATCTTCCTGCCTGGGGAGGGGGGAGGGGGGGAGGGGGTGGGGTTGGGGGGGGGAGGGGGGCCTGGGAGGCCGACAAATCAGGTAAAATGAAAGCAAGCCGGACAAGGGGGTGGCAAACGAACGCAAAAACAGGGTGTCTCCAAACAATTGAACTGCAGGGAGAGGATAGACGCCTGGGCCTGTGGCCTCGGCGGATTGAAAAAGCTTGAACCGACACCCGAGACCCCGGTGTCGGCCCAGAAAAGAGGCACAGAACACGATAACGGATCGGAGCCGCTTTGCTGTACAGAGTACCGGGAGCTTCACGAGCCCTGCAGTTCTGACAGAAGCTTAACGGCAAGCAGTCGCAGCACGGTGACCTTCAAAAAGCATCATGCCGCCCCGGCCCCTCCCCTCTCGCCCTCTCCCCCAATCGAAGCGCTCAAAGCAAAAATAGCGAAGCACATTCTTCAAAACAGATCCCCAGATCTTTCCGTGCCTGAGTCTTTGTTTTCTTTCTGCGTTTGGCTGTTGGTTTAGATGCACATGCATGGCTGGTTGGGTAGGGACACGTGCACTTGTAACCATGTATGCCATTGCAGCTGCTTTGCTCAGCTCGGTGGCCTGAACTTTTTTTTATTACGCAAGCCAGGCTCGCCATGGCCTTCTCGTCAGTGGTTCAGGCTTCTCTGACTGAGGCAAATTGCGAGGCGCTTCGAGTGCTGGCATCACAGATGATTCTGATTTTGCTAATTATTATGTCGATGAGTTTGCCCTGCTGGACACCTCTTCGGATGCAGAGCTTTTGCGACAGGTTACAACCGCTTGGAACATTGCTAAAGTTCAGATGCGAGTTCGGGAGCAGCAACATCAGGCTCCTTTTGCATGTGATAAGCGACCCATTGATGATGTGGCTAAACAACCATTATTGCTGGGTGCTAGACCGAAAGGACGGCTGTTTCATGGGCAAGTTTAAGGACGCGTAATTTCACGGAGGCTGTTGTGCAGTCGTCTGCGAGTATTGCAGCTCCTAAGGCGGACCGGCGATCAGGATGTTTGCTGGCTATGTTTCAAGTGTCTGTCTTGTGTGGATCATGTTAAACATGGTTTTTGGGGCAGACTTGATCCTGCCTGCAGCAAGCGGAGGCTAGACCGTTGCGTGATCGTAAGTTTCAGGCCGTCAGTCATGACAGGCTCATCAGTCACAGCCCGGCCATGCCTCGCTGGGTTGATTGGCATGCCAAGAACGTTGATCAGCTCGTCTGGAAGCCGTTTGCAATTACAACGTCCTGCTATTTCCAATCCATTAGTCGTAACGGGACCGCGCCGCCTCAGGAGCATACGCTGCAATGAATTGGTGGTGCCGTGATGTGGGGGTTCCTTTTCCGTTTCCGAGGACTGCGCAAGGATCATAAGCTTGGATGCCGCATTTGGATTGAGTACATTCCATCCAATGATTATCATTCGGATGGATTGAGCCGATTGAGCCGTGCGGGACTTCACGATGCTTGGACAAAGGCCCAAAGGTGGCGAATGGCAGAGTATCCTTGCCTTCCGTGGCAGGACTTCCATAACATCGATCCCTTTTTCCGTTGGAATGCTGCTTTGGATATGTCAGAAGGTGGTGTGGGCTCTGAACTTGTTGATGTGCCATACAGATCTGGCCCGCTCGATCCAACGACCTGAAGGGCCGTCGAGCAGACGAAGCGGTTTGGAAGAAAATGAAGGATGCGCGATCCTGATCTCAGTGAGTCCGATGGTTATGAAGATGCACATGCATGGCTGGTTGGGTAGGGACATGTGCACTTGTAACCATATCTGCCATTGCAGCTGCATTGCTCAGCTCTCTGGCCTGACATTTTTATTCCCACCCACTCCGCCCGTGGATATTTCTGAAGGTGGTGCGGGCTCTGAACTTGTATACAGTTCTGGCCCGCTCGATCCAACGACCTGAAGGGCCATCGAGCAGACGAAGCGATTTGGAAGAAAATGAAGGATGCGCGATCCTGATCTCAGTGGGTCCGATGGCTATTTATGGTTGTGTGATGTTTTTTTTTGTGTGTGTGCGTGTGAGTATTTTTTCCAAACAGTGTGGTAACTAACTCAGTGAGGTTCTTGCATTCAGACTGAAGGGCGGTGGCGCGAGGCCTGGCTGGCAGGCACACCCGCCGGACGGGGCGGCTCGCGCGGCGGTGTAACCCATGGTGTGGGCTCATGTTGTTTTCTGTACCCAGTACCGTGTCTGCAAGGCAAGAGCCTCATCTGTGAACCATTTCCACTCGTTTCCTCCTCCTCCTAAATTGACGCTACCGGCAGAGTTTTGTGCGCACTTTGGTTGGGGTGGGAAGGTGAGCAAAGTGCTCTCGCCACAGCCCCGCACACGCATTTTGCTGCCATCAAAAACAATCTGACGTCTCAAGCTTTAGCATGGCCACGCTATGAGACTCTTCACGAGGCATTTCGTGTCGACTCCTAATCCCGCCGACATAGGGGTGAGCGATTTTGAATGTGATGGCTTCCGTGCTGCCTCCGGCTTCATGGTCCGTTGGTCGTTGTCGTCCTGGTCGTGGTGATCCCGGTGGTCCTGGTGGTCTTGGTCGCCATGGTTGTCCTGGCCGCACGGAACTTCCCATTTTGCAAGGAACAGAAGACGAGCAATGGGCCGTGCTTGTCCAGTGTTTCAGCATCCATCAGTGTGCGACCAGCGCAGACTTGTGCCTTAACCAGAGACAGGTAGATGAACGATATTTGACAACTGGTGTTTTAGCTCATTTAGCTTTCTGAGGCACTCCGATTGCATGCAAGGTCGATATCGTTGACATACCGATTAGACTCACCGAAGAGCTGCTCGTCACCTTGGCAATCGTCATTGCGCTGGTGTTCATATGGACGTGCGACGAGACATTTCTAGTCCTGGGTTTTTAAGGGATGCATTCTTGCCATACCTTCCTGCAGGTACCGCGCCAACATAATGATGGCTCTCACTGGTGACACCAAGCTCCACGGTTCCTTTCTGGATTGCGTATGGTGCTGCTGCTTTCAGTGCTGCCGGGCGCACAGCACTGATGAAGTTCTGAGGTACGCCGTATCAGGACTGCAATGAACGCAAAAGCCTCTCACCAAAATGGAGCTCAGGTGGTCTGTGCACTGGCGAGTGGACCGGCTGTTTCACGATGTTTCCATGTTGTCCAGCAAGATGGCGGAGGCGGCCGCTGAATTCACCCAACGCTGTTCTAGTCAACAGAGCACCTGTAGCGCAGCCGGGTTCGCTCTAAGCAGTTTTGAAGTCAGTGGCCGCGGGTCGGTCTGTTCTATTCGCAAGCATGTCATGAGGCCTTCTTGGAGAACTCTTGGGTTCATGTGAACAACTTTGATCCTTCCGTCACGCTGCAAAAACGACAACTTCTGCTTCCGTAGAAGCAAGGGTGTGCTTGGCGCCGCGCACTCAGCAGGTGCTCTCTCATGCCCTCCCAAGCTAGTCGTATGTAGTTTGCATAAAGTCGTTGCGGAACCTTTTTTTCTAAGTTGTTGTTTTGGCATTTGTGGTGTTCTATGCTTAGCTCCTGTTTTCCCGTTCTATGTGCTGATTTTGCTTGCTTGTAGTCTTCTGCGTGTTTGTGCTTTTGCTTTTCTGCTTCAGGGCTTTTTCGCTTCTCGTTTTATTTGCTTCGCTTCTCTGTTCCTCCGCTTTTCCGCTGTTCCTTCTGCTTTCTGCCCGTGTTGGCCTCTCGTTTTCTGCTTGTTGTTGCTTCTGCTTTTGCTTTTATGCTTTCCGTTTTTCGGCGTTTCCGCTTTGCGTTCCTCTGCTTTGTGTTTCGCTCTTATGCTCCTCCGCTTTTTTCCTGCTTGTCAGCTTCACTTGCTTTTTCCATCCTCATCCTTGAGGTCCCGTCCTGCTCCGCTTTTCTCCTGTCCGCCCTTCACGAAATGAGCGGTTGTGTTTCAGATATGTGACGACCCGGGAATCGCCAAATGAGGGGCATTGAGGGGCGTGTTTAAGAATGCTTACCAGTAAGAAGTATGATGAGCATGAACAGCTGGAAACATGTTCGCGTGTAAATATGCGACTATGTTGTAAGTGACAACATTTTCACATCAGTTCAAGCTTTTGAAGAACTGCAGTTGCTGGAATGTAGAGCTTCGGCCTGAGCACATTCTAAGTTGGGCTCGCGCAGCGAGCATCCTGTGTAAACCATAGGATGCGGAGACCGGATTTGCAAGATGTGCTGTAAATAACAGGTTGCGGCAAGTTAGGCGAATTGTGAATAACAATGTGAACAACGTGAGTCCAGGGGAGAATTTCCACGCGGCCATAGTTGCAGATGTTCCTGGACAGGAAAAATCAAAGCAAGCATTTCAAAGAGCAACGGAGTGGTTCAGTCGTCCCATTACCTGTACAGGTTGTGCTTTCGAACACTTCAATACGAATCGACAGGGAGCTGTGTTTCTAGGTTCAAGCGAATGCCCTGCTCGGCATCGGGACGAGTTGTGCAAACGTAAGACGCACCAGGCAGAACCTCGTCCGGATGGTCGGAAAACAAATGGGTTTGTCCAATTACACGGTTCTGGCCTCAGTGTCGCTGCTTGACGTTACACGCGGTTGCGATTCGTTCGGGTTTTTCGGCTTTTCTCACACAATACTGACACTGATAGTTATAGGGAGGTTCTCCACCAATGTTTTCAGTCCTCACTCTTTCTTGCTCTATTTTGATTCCTGTGCTTGGCTGGTCTGTCTTGCAAGACGAGGTCGAATTGAGGAACTTGGTAGTGGGCGATCTCCCATTTGTCAAGCCGCCATGTTGGGCCGATTTGTATGTCCAGTTCCGTTGACACAGAAAGACCGTGCTGATACAAGAGCTTAAGTTGTATATAGTGCGGCTGCGAGGTAGATTCTTCCTCTGTGTATGCCTGGACACATAACTGCTAGTGGCACGCGCTACTGCAAGCACGATGGATTTAAAGGCACGCTGACCGGACGGTACAGGATCAACGCAACATGATCAACATGTGTACAGCAGGCAAGGCTGGACCACGAAACGCGCAAACCATGACTCAACCCTGTTCCGTTCGGATTTATTCGGCAATGTGCCAGGACGGTCGTGAAGACATTTTCTTATCCGTGGAATGCTCGGACTCTTGTCTGAACTTTCAGAGGGTTTCTTTAAACTGTTAGCCATTGTCCTAGTCATGACCTGCTGTTCGCAGTTCTGCTGCTACCCCACTTCGTGGCATCCGAGTCCAATCCGGCGATGAGGACTTCAGTCGCTGAGGATAGGCTTGCCAAGGCGACGTTTTCTCTTATCTTCGGAATCCGTCTCATGCCTGCATGTGGCGCATCTATGGCTTGCTTTTGTCAAGTTGCTTCCACTGCAGGTCATTCACTTCCCGGAAGTGCTGACCGTTCGAGTCCGGCACTGTTTCTTGGAAGAGAATGTGCCTTGCTCAGATTCCGCATTTGTCCATCAGACTCTTTCTGGCACATTCTGGCACTGACCCCATTGAGGTTCGGATCACTGTCCTGTGTCTGAATGTCGTCGGGTCCGAGGAGCTGTGCACTGCCAGTTCCTGACAGTGTTTCCATCATCATTTGTGAGTCTTTTGTTGTTTCAAAAGTTCTGCATTTTTTTGCCGAGATCACCATGAGTGCCATGAACGTCATCGACTGGGCACGTGATCCGTCCTTTCCTCGTCTGCTTGCGAGAGGGCATGGATGTTCACCGTTGCAGACGCCCAGAAATCCGAGATGCGACGCAGGTCAGAGAGGATCAAGCGTTTCCAGCTGAAAACTGTGAATCATAACAACATCGACCGAGAGACCCCAGCGTGGTTGCTCGTCGAATTTGGCGAACCAATAGAGGCCGGAGTCTATTCATAAACTTCGGTTGGTCCCGGATAGAGTGTCCGTGAACGTTCGAGAGGGCAGCCAGTCTTTTTGCGACTGCATCAAATGATGCTCTGGCTCTACTGTCTATTCCAATTCTCGTAAAGCGGATGTACATCCAAACTTGGCTGATCGGCTGGGTTTTGCGCAGGTTCGCGACCTGGACAACATCAGATCCGTGGACACAATCAGGACCACAACCCACGACATGACAAGGCTTGCTCGCTCTTCACTGATGTGCAAAAGCCATAAGATGTGGAAACAAGTGTAAGCGAATTACCTGCGATATATTTGGGATGCAGAGTGGATCAAAGTTTTGTAAACAGTACACCGGTGTCACTAAAACAACGTTTTTTCTTTCATCTGCCTTGGTCCTCATCTTCCTTCTGTCTGTTGATGTCGGCAGTAGCTTCTTCGACAGGTTCAGCCAACACAGCGTGGCGGAGTACAAGCACACTTACTACTTGCTCGATGCAGCAGGTGCTGAACTGAGACTGTAGCCGCGCAAGAAGCCGCCGTTACATGCTGCGATATGCCATATCGGAAGCCTTCGTACATTGCCGCTGCAGTTGGACGAGTTTTTGGTGTGGAATCGATGTCCTGACATCCTAAGGCCATGCTATTGATGAGCCCTTCGAAGAGGATTTGTCAGACATTCGCAGAATGCGTACAAATGCATCGGACTTAGGCTTAGGATTCAGGCTGCTCCTTTCGACTGCGTTGGTCTGCAAGCCGAGTTGAGCAGCGAAAGCTTCGTTCTGCTTTTTTGTTGTGCGTGAGTGAGTCAAGGAGTGAGAACGGGAGTGCGCGCGAGCGAGCACGCGAGTGAGCATATTATGAGTTCGGCGAGGGAGGGAGAGAGACAAGAGAGAGGCCTGGGAACCGAGAGAGGAAGCTTGCTTTCGAGAGTCGTGACACTAACCACCCCACCGGCCCCAAGTACGCTTGTTGCTTTTGAGCAACCTTCCCAAGAGGGAAGGCAGTCTGCAAACGGGGGAACTCCAGCCTTGATACCCTGCATGATTAGGATAGCGGTTCTCCAGCTACACATGTGGTAGGATCCAGCTCCGTTGTGCATGAGGCCCCAGCGGTGGACCCCGGAGTAGTCTCACAGGCGTAGGAGCAGAACAGAGCCCGGGGGAGGGCGGCAACACCAGCCTTCAGCTTAGGCTTGCTTGTGAACTCATTAGGACAGGCCGCCCCACAGGCTTCTAGCTGCGCCTTTTTTGCTTTTACAACGCACCTCCAACAAGGAGGACAACCTGCGGACGAGGTCGGGACGCGGGGGTTTTCTGTACGGGACGGGGCTTGCTACAGGAGAACATTGGACACACCAAGTAGTACAGTGCAGCGCTCAGGAAGGACCCCAAGGCCAGCCGCTCACTAACACAATGTGGGGGCTGGGCGGGCCGAAGGCCTGAGGGCCGCTAGACGACCCCTACGCCGTGCAGAAAGAAAAAGAGAGAGAGAGAGAGAGAGAGGCCTCAAGGTGCTTACGCCGACTTCGAAGATGCCGTGGCCTCGACAGCTCAAGAGGGCGGTTGCGGGGGAAGGCCCCTTCTTACTGTGCCTTTGAAGGGGCCGGAGCCCCGCCTCTCGCCTGTAACTAGCTTCCGAAGGGAAGGGTGCCTTGAGCCATACAGAACGTCGGCAAGAACGTGACACTACTCCTTTGTACGGGGGCGCTGACCGCAAGACCTTCGTCTCCCACCTTGTGCCTTACAGGCCACACCGTTCCTCTCCTACCCGACGACTGGGCGGGGGAAGAATCCTACTTAAAGGTCGTGATATTGGCCCGGGCGGCTTCCTTCGATGACGAGCTCCTCACGAAATCCCATAGAGGGGAAGACAGGGGCAGACGCGGAAACGAGGCTCGAGACTCCCGACGACCAAGCCGGCCAAGGTCAACACCACGTGGGAGGACCAGTGAGGGGAGTGCGTGTAAAAAGGTTTTTGGACGGGACCGTGAAGTGTGATCGCTGTGTTCTTGGGTTTGCCTTACCTCTGTTCGTTGTTGTGTTTACAAGGAACACCTCACATCCCCAAGTTTCGAATCCTCAAACCGGGGGATTGCACATGCAGACTTTGCCATAACCTCCCTTTGGGGGAAATGCCTCATTGCAAATGCCGTCACAACCTGACGAGTTTCTTTCCATTTGCCTGCAATTCTTTGTCACTCCGTCGCTAAACGACGATGTCTGATCCGCCTACCTCATTCTTAATTCTTTGCCTCGCTCCCGTTTTGAGCTCATAAGCAAGGAGGATCATTGAACCGGCATCTTACAGCTGCTGTGTTATGGACTCTAGGGGGCACAAGCAGTTTTCCCTGACCCTAATACAGAGACTCGTCGCAGGCAGTGCATGCAAGCGCCGCAACCAGGTGCCTAGGCTAGATGGTGTGGTTGCCTAGGGGCGCGGGGAAGAGGCCGGGAGGTGGGGGTTTAGCGTAAAGGGTGGGGCTTGCTACATGAAAACCTGGGACATACCGAGTAGTTCTGTGCCGTAGTCAGGAAAAACCACAAAGCCGGCCACTGATTACTCCGACTGAAGAAACTCCTACCGCTCACGAGTTAGCAGAGGCCCGTGGTTGGATGAACAAGTGAGGGCAGAGCAGGAGTACTACAGACGAACGGGCCGCCATCGCCCGCTCAGCCCACTGCACAGCCGGAGAAAGGCGCCGGCAAGCTTTTGGACTGACGACAGCGACAGAGAAGGGGGGCTGCCACAGAGTCAGAAGTCGTGCTCGTCTACTCGAAGGGGGGGAAGGGTAGCGAACACCATCCTAAGACCATACATAGTCATGTGCTGAATATGTCATGTCTTGCCATGTTCATTCCAGTGGCGCGAAAGTCCACGGCCAGAGGCCACTCCAGAGAAACCTAAAAACGTGCACATAATTAAGGTTTGCACAACCCAGTCCTGCACAGACTAGGGGTAGAGGCTTCTTCAAGTGGCAGCACCTTCTGTACAGGCCAGGAGCGAGCCCTCAGCCCTAAGGCACCGACAGCTACAGCTAACTGTCTGGGGAGCTTCAGGCTCGACCACTAGTGAGCTGTATCCTCAGCCCTAAGGCGAGGTTAGCAGCTTGGCCAGAGCCAGCTAACAAAACAGGTCGGCACCTTCTGTAAGCAGGGAGTAACCCTTCAGAAAGTACCGACTCCTCAACTACCCCGGGGAGCAACACACTCAACCCTCAGCTCAGCTGTACCCTTAACCTCAGCCCAAAGGCGAGGTACAGGGCACGCTGAAAGCAAAACTTCACTCAAAACTGCTTGGCAAAACTCACTCACAAGAGGGTGAGAGCAATGCTGGGTCCTCAGCCCAAAAGCGAGGTCCCTAGCATCCCCCTCTAAGCGAACTGGCCTGCTAGCCTGGTCGGCCCGGCTGTAGGCCGGTGGCAAGCTGGTGGCAGGCCGGGCGACCTGTGCGCAGGCTGGCTTGACGGTAACTCCCATTCAGGCTTGAAGCAGTCACAGGTAAAGGTGTCAACCCTTTTGGCACTGCTTGTTGCCTTGCTGTCGGGACCTCAGCCCTAAGGCGAGGTCCCTCCAGCCAGTCTGCAGCAGACGGGAGCTTTGCTCAAAAGGTGCAACAGTACTACAGCAGGCCTAGTGGCAACAAACAGGTCCTCAGCACTAAGGCGAGGTCTCCTTGAGGGCTGCATGCTCTTATTTGTCCCAAGTGCAGGAACCTCAGCCCAAGGGCGAGGTAGCCTGCACTCAGAAAGTCCAGAGACCCCGGCTCTTCAGGGGAACCTGGTACTCCGGCGAGATCAGGGTCCGAAGCGACTCCATGACATAGGTGGGAGACGCATTGTTGGTGAGCTGTTGTAGAGCCTCCACACTCTCTGGTTGGGCGTGCCTCACCAGGGCCCACAAACCCTGAGCTTTGTAGCGGTTAGGCCACACTGCTCTCTGGTCCGGAGAAAGCGGCACCCAGTCTGCAGCGTCCACGAAGCACACGTAGGGTGCCTCACTGTCACGACGAGGGAAAACCGCCCAGTTGTAAGAGCCCAGGTCCTTAACTGAGAAGGTCTGAGATCAGTACGCCACCAGATAAAACAAGGTGTAGATCAGGTCCAAGGAGGCCGGCGCACCACCCAAGTACTCCATCAAAGGAGTGACCCTCTGGGATCGCAGGCAGTGGAGCCTGCAATGGTCGACACTGTCCAGCCAGTTCAGCTTTATGTGAACATAGCCCATATCTTCCACCCTCGGGAAAAGCGCGGGGAAACGAGAGGAGATAGCCACTTCCTGTCCATGACCATCAGGATAGGCCATTTTGAGAACATGATCTGGGCTGACTGGGTCCACGTACACCAGTCTGTCCTTTCCTTTTCCCAGCCTTGGTGACCACGTAGCCTTGCGTTGACAGTCGCCCCCCAGATCAAAAATGAAGAGGAGCTCCTTTGGCATGTAGTGCCACAAAGTCGTGGGGCGCTTCTGGTTGGGCTGTGCAGGCCCCAACCCCACGACCCTCAGAGTCTGGTCCCTTGGAACCGGAGCGTAGTCAAAGGGCCTGGGTTCAAGGCTCGACGGATCAAACTCGACAGTCCTGATCAGAATGGTCATCTGAGGACCTCCAAGAAGGCGGGGCACTATCCACCTCCGACGTACGCTCCCTCACCGGGGAAACTTCCTTCCTTTTCTCCCCTGGGCCTGGCTGAGCATCTGTTGGCTGTCGTCTGGGTGCCGGTGGGGGCCTCAGCCCTGGAGGCGAGGCCCCCTGCGGGCACCTCCGAGCCTCAGTCCTGAAGACGACTGCCCCAAGCACCTCCACTTCACTGGAGGATTCCTCGTCCAAAGGTTCTTCCCGCGGCTGTGGTATCTGCCTAAGGGCCAGACCTTTGGCCTTCTTCCGCTTGTTCTATTTACGTGCCCTTTGTCTCTCCAAACTCCCAGAAGACTTCCAAGCTAGTCCCGCCTGTTCCCGCGCGAGCTGGGTCGGCAGTTGCCGGCCCGGAGTCTTCGGCGGCATGGCGGGACCTCAGCCCTAAGGCGAGGTCCCACGAGCCTGCCCCCTGTGAGCCGGAAACTTCAGAGCAGGTTGCATCATGTCTTTAACCTTGGCCTTAGGCTTGGGCTTCGGACGCGGGGGGGGCTTCGGAGAGGGCTTTGGCAAAGCGGTACCAACAGCAGCAAAGAAGTTACTTGCAGGTGTCACTGGTGAACTGTCTGAAATGCCCTGCCCAGCTGCCTTGGAAGCGGCGCTCGGGGGGCTCATCGTTGGCGAAGCAGCCGCGCCGACCGCTGGCGCAGAGGTGCTGGCACTGGCAGCCTGAAAGGCACTTGCAATGGAACGACTTGAGGCTCCTTCGACCTGAACAATAGCGCGAGCCTTGGTGCCACTATTAACCTTACGGCCTAGGCCTTTGCACGCAGCCTGGAGAATGGCAGAGGGCGACGCAGCCCCAAGTTTAATGCAAGCCAAGCATTTTGAGCACAAGAAATGGGAACCCTTATTATGCATGTCATGGCTAGAATGGATGTTCCAACCCGACGGCACCGCTGCAGCAATGTCCCGGCAGGGGTTGGAGACCTTGCGATCGAAAACCGCCAGTGAGTTGCATTGTTCAACATAAAGGCTGCAAACCGTACACTGGATCGCAAAATTATTGCTCGCCTTGGTCTCACAATCCCGCCAAACGTGACCCAGTGCCGGGTCCGGAGATTCCAGCATCTGCTTAAGGCGCTGTTTTTTGTTGGGCAAAGCGACTTTCTTACTTGCAGACAGAGCTGTAGATTGCGACTTGGGTTTTTCAATCTGACTTAAGGAATCTCTAGCTGCACGGGGAACAAAACCCTGGGTTTTCTCCTTAATCAGCTTCTCAGCCCTAGAGGCGAGAAAACAGTTAAGCTCCCGGGTGACCCGGTCTCCTTAACTTTGCGAACAAAGTGCGGAGTGCACGCGGCCGCAGCTCGGCTCCCTGCGAGGGTGTCAGCTTTGGCATTGAGCTCGCGGCGCCAGAGCTGGCCAGGAAATTCAGCCTCAAAGGCCTCAACAGTGCAGTGGCTCCTAACCCAGTGCGGTTGAGCCCTTGCTCGCTCCTGCCAGACTGAGCCCCATTCAGGGATATGTTTTTTGGTAAGAGCTCTGGCAGCAAGGGCTTTGAGGGCCGGTTTGCAATCACCGGTGAGGTCGAAGCTACCAGTAGTGGCCTTGAGGGCTTCTATGATGGCTAGGGATTCACCCTGGGGCACCGTGCTGCCTGGCGGAAGGCGGAAGCAGGCCTGAGATGGTCCCATGTTCAATGAGGCCATCCGCGCGGAGTTCGCAAAGCACTACCGACCACCCTACAGCCCTAAGGCGAGGGTCGTGGGTATTGGGACCTCCACTAGCATCGGTACCTATGAGGAGCCCTGTGGCATCAACCGGCTGGTGACAAAACAACCCTGTCACCTTGGTTTCCAAGGCTGAGGCTGAGACCAGTGGAGTCGTCCAAGCCTTTGGTACCATGCCTCGTAGCCAGAAGCAAGGGTCTGGGTGTTTGCGCTGAAAACTACGGAGGGCCGGGCTTAACTTAGCAGGCGCAAGCGGGCACTCATAGTAAACATGGTGCAAAGTATTCTCAGCCCCGCAAGCGCAGTGCGAAAACCCCCCATTCCCAGAGTGCAAGGTGCGGCCCTGCCAAACGGCGTGAAATGCCGATCGCGGGGATGAAGGCTTGGAAACCTTCAAGAGCTTTCGGTGGACTGACCAGTCGACTCCCTTCTGAGCACCTTGGGCCGTAGGAACTGCACCGAAACGTGACGCCCTTTCAAGTGCAACAACCTGAGTAAGAAAGCGGCGAACAGACAGGAAAAGGCCTGGGTTGGCGACATCTAACTGAAGAACCCCGCTGCTATGAACCCAGCGCAGAGGATCACTGACATTGATGCGCAAATCTATACAGTACTGAACCATGGCAGCAACCGGGCCTGCAACACACTTCCAGCCGTGCACGGCCGCCTCTTGGCGAGTCCAGGCCACCTTCCATGTGCGGGCTAAGATTACCCAGCCCTGTGCCGTGGAGGGGCCAAACATTTTGTACAAGGCGTCAGCCTGTGCAAGAACAACGGTTAACAAAGGGTCTTGGCAGCGGAAGGACATACAGTCCAAAGACACGTCTACGGAACCCCACTTAGACCGCCCAACATGTCGGGAAATGGAGGCGCGAACGACCTTGAGCCTTTTGGGAGACAGGCCCTGTCCCTGGCAACCATAGATCTCAGCCGTAAGAATGGAGGTGGCGTACAACCTATGGGCTTTGCCGCCCGTGCCAAGTTGGTGAAGTTTCTGGTTGCGGGCGCGACCGATCTTGAAGCGTTTCAAAGCATTCCTGACCCTTCGGCGTTTAGCACCTGCCGAGTCGATTCCAAGGTCCCGAACCAAGTCGGCAACCTGAGGATCGCCTTCAACACGCATACTGTTGAGTGCTTTGGCCGCTTTGGCACTATTGACAACAAATTTGGTCTTGGTTTTGTTGATGCGAAGCTTCTCAACAGAAAGTAGGTCCTCCAATTTCCTGGAGGCCGACAGGGCAAGAGAGGCCGCAACCTCCGGGTCAGCATGAGACACATCAACACTGATGTCATCAAGCCATAAATCAGCATGACTTACACCCCGGTGCTTGGAAATGCCCTGCAGCGGAGCATGAGTGGTGAGTTTTGCAACCGTGGGTGCGTACGGGCACCCCTGAAGGATGCCCCTTTTAGGCCACAAAGCAACAGTGCTGACCCCCTCGCCATGGAGACAACGAGGCCCATTGTATAGCTGAAGACTAAGCTCCAAAAGCAAAGGTGGAAATGACAAAGCTTTGCCCTGTGAAATGAGTGGAGAAAAATCTACCCCATCATAGAATCCTTCAAGATCAACGAACAAAGTTATGAAAGTAACTTTGCGAAATTTATGGTCTTCTGCCTTGATCAAGCGAGAGAGCGCTGGGTCAAGGGACGTGTGTCCTGGGGTGGCGGAGTCGAAAGGTGCAAAGGCAGCGTACTCCCTTAACCAGCTCTCTAGGAGCGGGCGTCTCAGCTTGCTGTACACTCGCCAGAGTACCGACGTGAGTGATATGGGACGCTCTTTCTCTGGGGTTTTTGCTAGAAGGGCGACCTGCACCGTAAGCATCTGAAGAGGCAAATTAAGGTCAGTCTCAACAAGGCGAAAAAGCCCAGCAAGCTGTCGGTAGCAAAAGTCAGGGAGTTTTCGCAAAGCCTTATACGACCAACCATCAAGGCCTCCCTTCTTGTTGCCTGTGGCCAGGCACGCTGTCTTGACTTGCTCCCAGGACAACGGTGAAAGGTCCTGTGCCTGCTGCAGGGCCTCAGCCCTTAAGGCGAGGCGCTCTGACAGGTGAACCTGGGGCGGGACAATTGACGCATCCCAGATGCGGCTCCAGAACTCCATGCGACAGTAAGCCCGGGCAAGGGCCGACTGATCCCGAAAAGGACGGGCAAGAGTCTGTTCGTGGCTTTTAAGAGCGCGGTAAACCGGCCCCATGCCTGCCGACAAGGCGCCAAACAACCATTGTTGGTAAGACTCCGCCTGCTCCCCATGCTGGGCAGTCTTAGCAAGTTTGGCCTGTGCCTCGGCGTGAGACCTCAGGGCCGCGACGCCACGATGATTAGAAGCAGTGTCCCGGGCTTCGTCTGCCCATTGCTGATGCTCGGGACCGAGCTTAGAAAGCAGAGAAAGAATTTCATTTTGCGGCCCCCCAGCCTTGAACCTGCCTGCAAGCTGAGACCAGACAGAGTGCTCGTAACCAAACCACTGGTAATTATTTGGGGGTTGCGACACGGCCGGCTGGCGAACCGTCGGCAAATTGACCCCCATGCCCGTGGTCTTACCCAGCAAACCTGAGGCCTCAGCGGTGGCAGAGAACTCTGCAAAGGCGAGGGACACGGGGTCACAAGCCTCGATTTCCAAGAGAGTGACCCTCTGCGGTGAAATCACCGGGGGTTGCAAATTGCGCTGATCATCCAGAATAGGGTCAAAAGAGTCAGTGATGGCTCGCAAGTTTGGCTGGAGATCCTGTAAAGACTTAAGGGGAAGAGTGCGCATTAGAGCCGCGTGGGGCTTAAAAGGAACATCCCAAGCAAGCTCAAGCGAGAGGTGCGAGGCCAAGCGGGGGTGGACCAATGCATAGTCCAGCTCGGCTGCGCGCCTGCAGTAGGCATCCCTGTACCAAGTAGCCGACCCTTTGTGAGGTCCTCAAGCCTGGTGGCGAGGAACGCACCACGGGCACTTAAGCGAGGCAATCACTGCATACATATTGGACAGGACCAAGGTATTGGCCCGGCCGTCAAAAGTGCTGCCTGACTCAAGATACAGCGAGAAGAGGGCTAAGTCGAAACCCGTCACCCGAATAGCGACAGCGACGAAACCACAGCCCGTATCAGGATCCTGGAAGGTGTGAACGTGCCTAGCCTGCAAGTGCGACTTAACACAAACCATCACACCCCCAATCTCCCGCTTGCGAACAGGAGCGTGTTGGCCATGGACATGGTAGCCTGCCTTGGCGAGGGCCACCGATTCAGCATGAAAGGCCCTTGAAGGCACGAGGCTGACCTGGTGATAGGGAGTGAACTAAGTCCTCAGAAGCACGAGCGATGCGGGCCCAGGTCTCAAGGCTGATCCTGGGTCTCAGTGGCCTCCAAAGACTTAAAAAGGACCCAGTATTCTAAAGTGCCCTCCTGACATTGCTCCTCAAGCCCTTCGGCGAGGCGCAAAGGTCAGGCTCCTGGTTCCAGGCAGGATGTAGGGCTTTGTAAGCACTCAAGTTGAGCATGGAGCCCCAGCCCGGCCGACCGGACCCCTGCTCACCCTGGAAACCTTCAAAGGGGCTCGGCGAAATTGTGGATTCTGGGGATGAAGCGGACAATTCAGCCGGCTGCGTTGGCTGTGTGACGGAATCATAGTGGGAACCGTGCCGCTCCAGAAAGGGCATGATCGGTCCCCGACACACCAAAGGTTTCTTGGAGTCCTTTGGTTCATGTGACTTGCAATCAGCCTGCTCATATAACATGGCAGAGTGGAAAAATTTTGGTCCAGTCAGTGGGCAGCTAGAGGGGAGGCACACGGGTCGTCCCACAACTTGGGATAAGCAAACCCCTCAGCTAGCTGTTCTGGCTGGTCTGACAAAGTCGGCTGGAGCCTCGAACCCTGAGGTGAGGCCCCGACCAGGCTCACGTCAGCACGACAAATGCTGGCCTGAGTCTCAACTGGTGAAGAAAGAACATGGATTCCGGCACTGCAGCTGCAAATCTGGACTCCCACGGCTGTTGGCACGAACGGGAGGCCACAGTACCAGCACTTGAAAAAGGGTGCGGGTGACGCGTCAGGGCTTGCGCTAGGCTCCGAAACTTCCAAGTCACGCAAAACCTCACTCAGAGAAAGAACCGGAAGGCAAAACCCGGAACCCTTGCGCAACCCCCCACCTAGACCCTAGATATCATCGGATTTGTCGCCTGCACGCTTGGGCGACCGGCTGCGCTCCTTGATCGGCTGGCTCGGCGGCCCTTTGGCGTCTTCGGCTTCCTTGTTGGCCTCAGTGGCAGGGGCCGCCGAGCGCAGCTGAGGAGTCAATCCCGGCGGGAATTGCTCCTGCTGCTGGGTCTTGCGGCGCTTGGCTTCGTCGGCGTTTTCCCTCTTGAGAGCTTCGAGACTGCGCTTTTGGGCCTCCGTAAGGGCCTCTTCCTGAATCCCCAGGGCCTGCAACACAGACTCGACTCCATGATTAGCCTCTTCAGTGCACTGCGTGAGAACCTTGGTTTCATACTCCTGAGTGGCTTTATTGACCTCAGTCTGTGCCTCCTGGATGGAGGTCTGCAAATCCTGCATCTTTGTCAGCAGGGCCCTCAGGTTTGCCTTGGCCAGGTCAATGTCTTCCTGCAGCTTCAGCTTGCGCTGGCCAAGGTCACGCAACCTACCAACTGAGTTACGCCACTCTACGCCTGCTGATTTGGGACCGGGGCGGCCGGCAGGGCGTCCACGACCTCCTGAGGGAGATCATCACGGTTGCGCTGCAGAAGGCTGAGCAGATCAACATCATCCGGCTTCGGGGCTGGCAGTTTGAAGCCAGCCTGCTCAAACTGCGAACACACTTCTGCAGGCAAGGTAGACCACACCTTCTGAAGGCAACTGGCTAGCTTAGCTGGCTTTGGCTGCCGAGTTCGGGGGCGCGGTCTGCTAGGCTCTCTCCAGGGTGCCTGTGGCACATCAGTGGGCCACGGGGTGCCACACCAACTGCACTTAGCAAACTTCTGTGCTTTAGAGGCATAAATCCAATTTGCGGGACCGCAGGTCTTGCACACATAGTACCTACCTCCGGTCATGACTGCTCACTCAGCCCTTGAGGCGAGCAAACAGCCCTCAGCCCTAGAGGCGAGGTCTGGCAATCCTGCAAGCTGGAAAGTGCCTGGCAAAATGCCGGCGCTGCACAAGTATGTCTCGCGAAAGGATAGTGCTGGGATTCCTGTTTGAGTCCTGTTGCCCCAACGACAGTTAAGGCCCAGAGGCTCAGTTGAAAACAGCTACGCTCCCTACGGAAAGGCTTCCCACCTCTGAAAGCAGGGTTCGAGCCAAACTTGAGCCAGTCTTGCCATGTTCTCTCCCCCTCTTGCGAGCGGTGGCATGTCCGGGGGCAGAGGGCAGTTCCAGCTGGTGTTGCCTCGGACCGTACAGTTTCGTGAGAGGGGTCTGAAGCCGTGCCAGGCAGAACCACTTAGCAGCACTTACCAGTACGTCATGAAGTCAGGCCCTGGGAGTGGACGGTGCCTCTGCGGTGGGCGCGACTGGTTCCGGCCTCAGAAAAGCGTGTGAAGCTCCAGGGCTGCGCAGAGCTGAATGGACAACTGCACGCGCTTCGCGATCAGTACTGTAGACAAGCCTTTGACCGCTTCATTCAAGGAAAGCGTCATGAGGCGCAGGAGCTCAGAGCTCAACGCTCGGTTGCGGCCCTGGGGAAGGTCTATGTTGAGATCAGCATTGAACGCACTAGGGAGGCTTTAGGCTTCGGCCCGCGCCACAGAGCTGCGCTGCTAGCTTCGGTGGCGTCCCCTAGCTGGTACGCAAAAGCTGTTGCGGATGAGGAGGATGTGAGTGCAGGCTGTCCGTGGTGTGGCCACGCGCTTGGCTCCTGGAGGCATCTAGTTTGGGAGTGTCCCTCGAATGCTCCACCGGATGACCTCAGACCTCCTAGCAATCCGCTTGCCCTTCGCTTCGGCTGGCTGGCAAGAGAAAAACAACGCTGACTCTCCTCTCGTGTTGGCCCATATGGCTAGGACTAGGACTGCTGAAAGATTGTGGAAGACCAGAAATGAGGACTCCTGAGGCTGCAGCCGCGCTGCTGTCTCTCTCTTTCGGCGCTTCACTTTCGCCAGAGGGCTTCGGCTCTCCTACTAAGGACCGCTGGTTTTCCTGTGAGCTTCGGCTCTTGCAGCTGAAGACCTCCGTCGTCTTTAGAGCTTCGGCTCTCAGCTAAGGACTGTGCCTTGTGGCTTCCGGATGGTGCGCTGTCTGGCGGGTGGCCTCGTGGTGCAGGAGTACAAGAGCTTGGCTCTCCGCTGAAGGACTCTGCAGCCCTTCTACCACACCTCTGTTGCGGGCGAAGACGTGATGCAGGTGTCCTACTCCCCCGCTGCTGTGGGCAATGAAGCGCTCCAGCAGTTCAACTCACTACTACTACTACTACTACTACTACTACTACTACTACTATTACTACTACTACTACTACTACTACTACTACTACTACTACTACTACTACTACTACTACTACTACTACTTGTACTACTACTACTACTACTACTACTACTACTACTACTACTACTACTACTACTACGTGCTTGTGACGTTGTGAGTGTTCGCTGTGATGTTGGGGAACAGAAGACCTGGCCCTTGAGCTCGAGCCTATACTTCAGTGCTGCGACGCATCGCCGGACGGCTAGTGGGTTTCAGCCTGGGGCTCCAGGCGAGTTGGGGGTCATAGGGCGAGAGGTTTCGGGGGGATGGCCGGTGAATGATTTTGCTTCTGGTCTCACTCGTTTTTCAACCCGCTACTTTTCCGGTACGCGATATCGCTTGGGGGGTTAGTGACCACTAACTTAATCGGCCGAGTGCTCGGCCGAGTGGAAGAGGTTGGGTGCGCGTGCGCGCGCGAGGGGAGGGGTTTTGACCTGCCCGTTTCCACACGCCCGGTATAGAGGGAGAGAGAGAGAGACCGGGGGGCTTGACCCGCCCCTTATGCCCTGCAGAAGAAGAGAGAGAGAGAGAGAGAGAGAGAGAGAGAGAACCCTAAACCTCTTGCCCATAGCCCTGGCGAAAGAAAGAAAGAGAGAGGGAGAGGCTCCAGCAACGAAGATTTGTAACCACTCGCAGACTTGTAAACTGTAAACGTTGAGCTCCGCGGACATTCCCAATTCCCGGGTCACACACAGGATTGTAGTTGGTACTTTATTCGTAAATTTATGCAGGGTGTTAGGTCCTAACTAGTGGTTGTAGTAGCCAATAAACTCGTCTGTGCTGAGTGCTTGCTTCTGGTTTCCCATATCATTTTTTAAACTGGGTCGTTATCGTACACTTTCAGGCGTTCGCCTGCTTGGTTACACCGTGCTTCTTGTGTTCGCATCCCCCAGCCGGAAGCGTCACTTATGCCTAGGATAGATCGAGTGCACTCCGTAAGGGGAGCACCCACCGTGTAGGCTGACTGAGCCTGCCCGCCTGAACAAAGGGTCAATGTACTCCAGCTGCAACACATCGGCAAACCCCCCACGGACGCAAGTGGAGATGGGGAAGGGGACAACAGCGTGGCAAGCCGGCATGCCGCGGATATGTACGGCCAGGCACTGACGGAGCGGTGCGTGAGCGTTCGCAGACGCCGCGCAGAGAGCCACCGATGCAGATACAAGCGCGCTCGCATGCGAGCGCGCTCAGACAAGGCTACAATCGGGCCCTTGCGTTTACACTAGTTGCGCACGCCACAGCCCGCAACAGCTGAGACCCAACACAACATACTTCTGAGCTGTTTAATTCAGGGAATCAAAATCGTTGCGTTCACTGCCTCCGTTTCACTGCCTCCGTTCCCGGCGAGAAGCAGCATGCTTGTCGGCTTTGTGAAGCCGTTTTTGAAAGCTGCTGTGAACAAAGCCCCCAAGCAGGGCCCGCGAAACAAGGGCCGGGGTTATGCCCGTGCCTTGAGGCCAGAAAGAAATGGAGAGAATGGTCTTGCAGACCGAAAAGAAGAATGGTCTTGAAGAGCATTGCAGACAATGATGAGTATTACTTCGTTGCTTGCTGTGGGATGTTCAGTAGAAAGCCAGACCAAGGCGAAATATTTCTTTCATCTTTGCAATGTCTTAACTCTCTTCTTCGTTATCGTCTATGCCTTCTTCCGCTCCTACGCCGGCTTCCAAGATTCTGTTCAGATCGGTCGACTGTACCATTGCTCCAGCATATTGTGCAACGTCTTCGGCAGATTTGGTCCTGCTACCGGCGGTTTTCCTGGCTCACGATGGCGATCCTCAACAACCAGACTATTCCCAGACGATTCCCTCTGAGTTTCCATGAAATGGAACTCGTTGGAGAAGATTGCAAGGCACAGCCGCAGACGGTGGTGAGCAGTGATGTAGCCTCGACAATTGAGGGTCCGTTGCTCAGCGGCGGATTTCAGCCAGGTGGAAACGGAGGGGACCGGACTTCAAGGCGCTGTGATGCGCTGCGTGGCCAGTCGTATCTCACGTCCACAGCTCATCACAGCCCTGCTGCAGGTGTCCCATGTCGGCCCTCCCTTCAACAAATCAATCGGCTGTGTTGGAAGCTTACATTTTGTATAGATTCAGTGCACCTGAGCCAGTGCTCAAAGCAGATTCCAGACTGCAGTATCAACACTTCGCAGCGAGTTTAGCTGATAAGGTCGATCTTGTTCTCTTGTGGGCTACAAACATTGGGCACATTTGGGCACCAGCTAGCCCGCTTTTTTTGTGCCCACCCGAATCTCAGTTTGCCATCAAACCCGCGCCTGATAGCATTACAGCGGCATCGTGCATGTATCGGGCCGTCAAGTGCTCCTGAAACATTGTGCTGAACATTTCAGTTTGCAGCCTGTGCAGGTTTTGTAGCACCGCCGTGGGTTTGCTTGTTAAATTGATTGGCGGAGTCTAAGGTCAAGGATCTGCATACTTGGACAGCTTGCATCAACCTTGGCCCAACGCTTTTTCGGGCTACGACTGGGAGGCTCTCACGGGCTCACGGGATCTCACGGGCGTCTCTGCCTTGCAACCGGCCCTTCGGCTCAGGAGCAGATCTTCGGCTCCAACAACGTGGCTGCCTCACGGTATTTGGAGCTCCGACGCTGGCTTCGAAGTTGTTCTGAGGTCGGATTCCGATGCGTTGAGGGCATTTGCAGCGTGCGGCAATGGGTGGTGGAACGTGTCGGGGCCTTACACTGAGTCCAGGCATGACTGCGCCTAAGAAGAAGCGCTGCGGTCGATCTTGCTTTAGTTCCGTTTAAAGCTTCGCAGTAGTATGAGTAGTAGCTCGATCTTGTAAATGTTTGTGTCTTGCGAGGGAGGCGGTCCTGTGACCGGGAGAAGCAACACCGGTGGTCTAGAGACGCTCGCGTCCTTCATCTCGAGTTGTACCACCGCATTGATTACGTTAAGTGTGATGATGAGTGATGCATCGGTTCCTGTGGGAATGCTGGCAGTCCACGGGCAGGATGACTCTCCCTATTTTCGCGGCTTGGCCTTCGAAGCCGGGCGGCGGCTTGCACTTGCGACGTCGGCACTCCTTCTTCAACTTTCTTGCCATCATTTTCACATTCTTGAAGGCACCCGAGTTGTGCAAGGCTCCTACACCGTCACTCAGCTTGTCGTTCATGATTGCTGGTTTGAAGACTAGCGCCGGTGATGGCTCGGCCCTGCTGACGGAAAGAAGATGCATATAGGGACTGGGCATGAAATCTTGGAGTTTCTATGCAGCTTCTCCGGTCCTTTGTTTCATTCCGCCGCCGCAGCGACATGCTTTCCGCTTCACAGAACTCTGGGCCGATGCTAACGTGCAGATCGTCGACGCCGAACTGGCTTCTGATCGCTTGCCGTCTGCGGTCAATAAAGGCTTGCATTGTGCTACTTGCGAGAACCCGTCTTGGTGTCGGCCAGCAGATCCCTCCCAGCATCTCCCAGCGTATTATGCCCAACTATGTGACCGAGGGGAAGCGTCGCAACGGTTGGGTCTAGTAGTCTAGCAACTAGCAACTTGAGAGCAAGAAGCGCTGTCATGTTGTGTTTGGGTTGGTTCTTCTCCTTTAAGTTGAACAGGTGCTGCACCGCCGCTGCAAGCAATCAAAGCCAGGGAATACATTGGAGAACCAAGTTTACTACAGACCTTGCAGCCCCAGTCGAGCCCAGAATGTGTGATGCTAGGGTGCCCGCCGCCTGCACGCTTGCTGGGCGGATGGCTATTTCACGAATTGAGCAGCAGTGTTGACCGCCGCTTGTTGAACACTTGCGGCAAATCCCGAAATGATTGGCATCAGTTGGTTTCATGTCTTCTGTGCGGCAAGAAGAGCAGCTGCTGCTGTGTCAAAACACTGCTGTCGCCGTCGTTGCCATCAGACAAAGCGTGGCTGCAACCTGTGTGCTCGGGTGGTCAGGAATACACACTGCTTGGCATTATCTTGTTTGCCATCGTGCTCAATTGCTGTCTTCGCAACCCTGCCCTGTTTTGAAAGGCAAACGAGTGCTGTCAGAGAGGTGATTCAGTTTGAAAGGAGTGACCTGTGAACATCGAATACGGGAGTTGAAGGTGCTCGCCTCAGGCCTTAGGATGCTCAGGGATCCTCAGGGCATCTCAGGGTCTTCCGTGGACCGTCAGCCGTCAGCCGAGGCCAAGAAGCTGCAAGAGCGTCAGCGTGATTCACAAGAATTCAGGAGGGGAAAGCGTCCGACGACTCTTCGCTGCAAGCAAACCAGGCGAGAATACGAACACGTTGTGTTCTGTTGCACTTTCCAATGCCGGGGCTCCATAACAACATCGATCCCATAGAGGCAGGACAATTATGGTTCGATGGAACAGATGTAAAGCTGCAGGTTAGGCTGGCTGTGTAGTCGGTCATAGTGGGTGTCAGACATGCCTGGCTCGCTCAGGAGCCTGAACTACGGGCACTGTTTTTAGGATAGGTGCTGCAAAGCGCCACCTTCAAGTTTGTACACTATTTCTAGCCAGCAGTGCTCAAACGCAGCATCAGTCAACAAAGCAGGCGACTGAAATGTGGCCACCGCTTTGACTAATTCATCTTGCGCTGATGAGGCTGGGTCTAGCCTGTAGTGGTTCTACGGGCTTTGTTGATGGCGGAGCGCAGAGGTCGAAGAGGACACGCAGGAAGTTGGTTGAACATGAGAACTAGTGATCTGAGTCAGCAAAAGCCGTAGACTTAGGAGTTCTCAACGCCGCGCGAAGGAGCAAAGGCTTGCTTTGCCCCCGACCCGACGACTCTATCGTGCATTCAAACTCAGAATGGCTCCGAACGTGCAGGCTAATGCGGACTTGTGTCCCGGACTTGTCACGGCATTGGGAGCGGATCAGGCGCATGGGTTCACCTGAGAAGTGATAAGTCCCGCAAGACGAGCGGCCGACTAGGAGTATGTCTGCAACAAGCACAACAACGCATGAAGCACGAATCTTTTTTGAGGTGAGGGTTGTGCCAGACCCAGCTGAGATGCAGACTCTGGCTCTTAGAACTACTTGGCACCAACAAATTCCGCATGATTCTGCACCTCAAGTCATGTCATGTTCGACCATCCCAGTGCTCCCAGTGAGCAGCAGTCGAACCAAAACTTTCATGGAAGGGCTGGCAGGGTAAGCAGAAGGCCATCCTGCTCCTGGTCAGGGCTTGACTCTCTCACCTGCGGAGCCGGCAGCTGGCATTAGAGTAAGTTGTTTGATGTTGTTTGCGACCTGGGCCATGTCGCATTTGGACAAACAGGTACAATGTACACCTGCACTATCCTGCACTCCACCTACCTGGGTCCCCGGCCAGCATCACTGACGCGGGGCTGGCACCCAGCCAGCTCAGTTCAACAGCACTTAGCCTTGGTCAGACTGAGAGGAGGACGCACGCGAGTAGTAAGCCCGAAGAGCGTGGAACAAGATACAACTCCTGCGAAAGACGGCTGTGTTTGCTGCATAAACATCAGCAGAGCAGGTGCCTTTTGCAGCATTTCTGAATCCTCGTGGAGCAAGAATAGACGCAAGGCTCTCGGCCAGGCTAGGCAAGTACGGATGTAGGCAGAAGGTCAGCCAAGTCGTTGGTACGATGCTTCCCATGAGAAGGTCCTAGCGGGAGCCGATCCGCCAAGGCTTGTGGAGAAGGTGCCTCCTAATTACTGCTAAAACCCAAACACGTACTGTGCCAGAGAAGCCTCCAAAGCCCGAGGTCAAAGCGCTTGCATCTCGACCGTTCGATCAGGCGGTTGCCGACATCCCTGAAGCGATCCCAGCTGCAGCGAGCTCTGTATGCTCAAAGCACCGCTGGGCTGTTCCCTCTCAAGGTTGTGGCACAGGATCTGACAAGCCGGTTGAAGGCCTTGGTGAACTTCTCGCCTGCCATGGCCTAAGCCTGGCTATTACCACCGCCACCGCCACCCCCTCCACCCCTCCGCTGCAGCAGCCCCAGCCCTAGCCATCCCTGCCGCCACCGCTGTAACCACCACCGTCGCTGCTGCTGCTGCTCCTGCTAAATCTGCTAAAACTACCACTACCACTACATGCCGCTTCTGCTACCGCTTCCATTACCACTACCATTAAGTACTGCTACCATACGACCACCACGACCACCCCGACCACCGCGACCACCACGACCAGAAACACCACTCTGACCGCTGCGGCCACTACGACCACTACGACAACCACTGACTGCTGCTGCTGTTGCTGCAACTAGAAGGTAGTAGGTAGTAGGAGGAGTAGTCCATGGCTTACATGCACAATGCGGCGACGGATTTGACCCTCGATCGGATTGATGTGGATGAAGTTTTCTTTTCTGGAAGCGTCCTTCATGTCCTACGGAAGTACGAGAAATTCATTGACATGTATGTGAATGATCCCACCCGAGTTCCATTGCCGGCGAAGATCACTCGTGACAGGGTGGTCGACAACAACCTCGTCCGTGCATGGGCTGCATTCAAAGCTGCTTTTGTTGCTGATATTCATCTGCGGAGGTTTGCCACCTGGTGGAGATATCGCAGTACGTGTTCGTGAGCCTACAAAGGCATGCATATTGTCAGCTCGTCAAGAGTATCACATCAAGCGCTACGGCGAAGTTCTCAACATCATCACGAAAATGTGTGGAGCAATCACGCACCTGGCAGCAGACAAAGCGTCAGCATTTCATCATCTCTTGCGTCCCTGGTGGACATTGAAGTGTTGCGCCATAGTGCTCCTACGGCGGTTTCTGAGAACCGTCCGTGCATGGGCTGCATTCAAAGCTGCTTTTGTTGCTGATATTCATCTGCGGAGGTTTGCCACCTGGTGGAGATATCGCAGTACGTGTTCGTGAGCCTACAAAGGCATGCATATTGTCAGCTCGTCAAGAGTATCACATCAAGCGCTACGGCGAAGTTCTCAACATCATCACGAAAATGTGTGGAGCAATCACGCACCTGGCAGCAGACAAAGCGTCAGCATTTCATCATCTCTTGCGTCCCTGGTGGACATTGAAGTGTTGCGCCATAATGCTCCTACGGCGGTTTCTGAGAACCGTCCGTGCATGGGCTGCATTCAAAGCTGCTTTTGTTGCTGATATTCATCTGCGGAGGCTTGCCACCTGGTGGAGATATCGCAGTACGTGTTCGTGAGCCTACAAAGGCATGCATATTGTCAGCTCCTCAAGAGTATCACATCAAGCGCTACGGCGAAGTTCTCAACATCATCACGAAAGTGTGTGGAGCAATCACGCACCTGGCAGCAGACAAAGCGTCAGCAGTTCATCATCTCTTGCGTCCCTGGTGGACATTGAGGTGTTGCGCCATAATGCTCCTACGGCGGTTTCTGAGATGGAAGCGGACAAAGACGGTGTTCGTTTCGGGTTGGGCATTCCAACAATCGACGCATTCAATGCCCCGAATTTCTACAACCTCGCTGTTGTGGTGAATGCTATCGAAGTTCCCTATCGAGCTGTTTTGGCTACCAGAACCAAACAGTGGCACACTGTGAACCAGGACTTTTACAAAAAGATGCCCAGCATGGCTGGTGACGACGGGCATGAAAACCACACGGATCTGTTGACTGAGGCTCAACTTCGCAAACTGTGAGAAATCATGTACACATTCGCAGGGCAGGTAGGTTACGGTTTGCGTACCTACAACAAGGAGGTCTCTTCCTCATCGGGCTCCTCATCAAGTTCCGGCAGGCCAGTCAACATTCATGAGTTGACGTTTATGCTTCGGAGCATGCCCGCGGGGATGGACCACCCGTTGGCCTACGTTGTGAATTCCTTCCAGGCGTTTACCGTATGTCTTCACGTGATATACAGCTACGCTTCCTGGAAAGATCATCATACAGGAGCCCCTTTCTACAGATGGAGCAACAACATCCCGGAGCTCGAGACAACAAGTGAGGCCGTGGAGTCAGGCTTCGCGTACGACTGCATGAAGAAAAAGACTGCAAACAGATTGGGAAGTGCAGTTCAAGAACATGGACGCTCCAAATCCAGTACTTGATGGCGATGCTTTATTTCCTCCCAAATTCCAAGGGCATCCTAATCGGGTTTACGAGACGGGACGGGCTGCGACGCCTTGGGCGAGCACCCTGGAACCGGAAGGTCTTCGACTCGACCACCCAACCGAGGAATGACACCGGAACACGAGAGGGGAGCGACATCTGTGCCTAAGGCGACGCCAAGTCATGGACCCAAGAGAGCAAGGACCGATGAGTCACGTTCTACGTCGGCATCCTCTAGTTCTCGTCCACCTCCTCCTCCTCAGCCTGAAGTCGAACCCACAATCGCTTCGTGGATGGAAGTTCCTGTCCCAGAAGGTGCTCAAGAGTGTTGGTTTCTCTTCTTCAAGCCTGACAATCATCGGTGTCGTTTAGTTTTGCTGACGACAACTAGGGACGCGAACGAGTACCCGCGCAGCATCGATGAGACGCCGAAATTCATGGAGAATCTCACCGACGGAACAACTCCCATCGAACACTACATCAGGAGACTGGTGACCTACATTGCAAGAGCGCAGTCTGTGACCCAGAGCAGTGAAAGAGGATTGACGCTCAGAGTGTATGTGAAGCTGGACACGAAGGAATGGTTGCGCATGTAATCAAGGTTGTACAATGCGTGCGAACTTACCTCTTGCATGCATCTCCCTGATTCTCTTATGCTTACGGCCGCGGCTCTGGTGAAAGACGACTCGGACTTGGGGATGACGTCGATGACGAGATGCGGACCATCGCGATGAGATCGATCAACAGTCTTCGGAATGGGCTTGGTCTCGGAGGGCGCCCGGATGCGGCAACCGCCAGATCACAAACAACTATGTTGGCCATGGACTTTGGTCTCCTGGCGAAGAGTCGCAACAACACGAACACGTTATGGGAGAGTCTACGGAACAAAGGTTGGTATGATCTTCACAGACTTTCACCGGACTACAATCAAAACTATTGTCTTCGTGTTACCCACAATGCAATGCGTTCCATGGTTGATGAAATTGAGAAGATGGATGAAACCCAGAAGCCGACATTGACAGTTCATGTTCATTTGTCGCTGCAGTCAAACCTTATCGACAACATGGTCTGGCCATACAGCAATATGGGCACTGGAGCTTCTCTACGGGCAGATGCCTAGGGTGCTTTGAAATCAGCGTATGTTGATCCGATCATCGAGATTGCAAGGATAACGGCGAGGGCACCAATTGTCAACATCAACCACGACCGGAGATCGTCATCCTCTGGAATCCACACGCTGTCGGTGGAAGCACATGGCGATGGGGATGAGCACTTGAGGCATTGGAGGGCATTCGCCATCTATGAGAAACAACTATTCAGTGAAAAGATGGCGGCTGCGTGTTTCATGGACCGCAACAAGATCAAGGATTGGGCTGAGAACATCAAAGCCCGAACAATCGATCGCCAAGATTTCGTCGAGATCTGGGAATTTTCAAAGGATCCAATCCGGAGCGCAG